TCTCGAAGCAAAATTATTTGAAAGTTCAAAAACTTACTACAAAAGTTAGAGAGCTGATAGAAGCAAAGAACCAAAAGGAAGGTATCAGAGATAAGCATGAGGGAGAGACATTTATTAATTCTACATGATTTACAGAATATGATATCATAATAACAACAAATTTTATTAAAACAATAACCTTTGTCCATGCCACTTTCAAAGTACCTGCTACTCTGCTGGTGATACCCTCGAGGACTAACAGTCCACCAGTAGAGGTATATATTTTTAGCTGATCATATTTTATTTGAAAGCTGTGTTTTCAGTCGCTTGAATAAACTTGTTTATTGAGCAACCACGGCCTCCTCCTTTACAACATCTGATGTCAATTGAGAACAAAAGGTCGATTTCTTTTTTAAAAAAATCAAAAACTCGAACCACTAATATCGTTTCTATTGGCCGTTCAGGTTACAGTTTGATTTTACAAAATGATTTTCAATATCACACAACCCTGTGATAAAGGTAAACAAACAACTATTATCTTAGATTGAACCTTTTTTATTGTGTTGCTTTACGGTATTATTTGCTAAAAAATTTTGTTCACTACAATGACGACGCAGACAATGCAAAAGGACGAGTAGTAATTCCTAATGAGATCATTTAAGCACAATGTGTCGTAGAAATTATTTTTAACTATTCCCGTATCATACATGTCAGAAAGGATCGTCTTTTATTTGTTCCACCTTAATTGGTTTTAAGGCGTGCCAAAGAATACCATTGACTAAGGTTAACATATGATATCGATTTCCGTAACCACGAATTATTTTTGGAATACTTGCTTACCCTTTCGGAGTACCTGAGATCACCCCCAATTTTTGGTTGGGTTCGTGTTGCTTAGTCTTTAGTTTTCTATGTTGTGTCTTGTGTACTATTATTTGTCTGTTTGTCTTTTTATTTTTTAGCCATGGCGTTGTCAGTTTATTTTCGATCTATGAGTTTGACTGTCCCTCTGGTATCTATCGCCCCTCTCTTGATCCATTTAGGAGCATCAAAACCTAAGATTAGCATTGCCTGATGGAGTTGATTGAAAATCTTAGTTTTAGGTCATCGAATAATTCATAACATAAAAGTTTTACCTTAAATTTGTAGCATTAAATCCTGACACTGGCGAAACATTAACTGATGAGCAAATAATACTCTATGGGACTGAAAGTCTCCAGTGGGACAGACATGATGGAGCTAGTATTGTGTTAAGTAAATTATAATCACAATATTCCTCCTATAAACTGTTTTGCAATATAGTTAAAACACATAAAAAACTTTGATCCTACTTGACAGTTTAGTATGATCATATATAGCAATGAGGAAATATATGAAATACCACTTAAAGTTTTGCACCAATCGCATATAAACATTCTAAATGGTTTTTTGTTCCCTTATTAAACAAAAAACCTTAGTATAATTGTCATAAAAACTAGTATAGCAAGTGTTTATCTCATATCTATTTCGAAATGAATATAACACATTATGTTGTGCAGTTTTGTAATTCGTACTGAACTGATCAAAGTAAAAGGTAAGCACTTTAGTATTTCACATGTGAGTTTTTAAAGGTTAATGGTAAAATGGTAAGCAATTTTGTATTTCCTGCTGAACTTATTATCGTAAACGCAATAAGCACTTGTTAAGGGAACGGGAGTTTTTAAAAGTAAATGGTAAGCACTTTTGTATTTAGAATCAGCAACAGTATACAATTCGAAGCTGAAATGTAGGATTCAAAATATAAGCAGTCCTTTTCTGAGGACATGGAAGGCGTTTACAGAAAAAATGTAGGCATAGTGGATCAAAATCGTACATAGATGGGCCAAAAACAAAACAATAAGAAAAAATTACCCCAAAAAATTAGAAAAGAGAAAATGCTCAAAATAGATAAAGGATAGAGAAAAAAATATCCTAAAAAATATAAGAATACAGAAATGAATACCCTCCTTTTTTTCCACCAAATCCAGACAATAATATCAATGTTATTCAAACTTTAAGCATTTTACATTTAAATTAAACGACCACCTCCTAGAACTTTAATTTTGGAATATATGTTTTAGTGCTTTGCCAGAGCTTAAAACCCTCACAACAGTTTCTGTTAAGGCAATACAGAACATGCATCGAAGAGTTATTTATTGATTTAATTGTCCTATTCAAATTTGGTTATCATGTGATTACCATATTCAACATATCATGTGAGTTTTTTTAAGACGTATTTAGTGTTCTGATCAATTGATCGGAAAGACATAAAAAACTGGCCAGTTTAAAACAATTGTATATAAGCCCAGCACATGACAAAAAAAAAACGAATTGATTTGTATATAAGTAATTTACACAGAATAAAATGCTTCTTCCATCCTCGCCCTTTTTTATAGAAATATTATGAAGAATGATATGAAATCCAAATTATTGCTAAAAAGAATGAAAAAACAACCCAGAAAACGTTGAACTGCGCACTTTGACTCATAGTCAGATTGACATTTAAATACAGGATGTAATGTGTCAATACATGAAATATTCCTTTTTACATGATTAACTTCAAATGTCTAATTAGGCTTGAATTAATCGGAACAGAAGAATTTTTCTTGCATCAATTAATCAGAAGCCGACGATTGGATACGAAATACACAATCTACTAATACCCATATTTTAAAGTTGAACATATGAAAACGTATTGTCCAACATCTTGTGTAATATATTTTTTTCTTCTAATATTTTGGCAATTCATATGGTTATAATTTTCTTCGACTGTTTATGAAGTCTTTATAATAAATCCTTTGGATGTGTACCGAACGACTTTTAATCTTGGAGAACATAATTCATTTCTTAGTTGTAAATGGCTTGACCGAGAGTATAATCAGCCCAGGCATGAACATACGGATATCGTTCTTTTTAAGTTTGCTGTTATAACATTTCGTAACAATTTTAAATTATGGAATAAATTTGGTAACGTTAATGTTATATGAACTAGCTGTCAGTATAGCTGTTTAGCTTTGAGTGGATTGTTAACAATCATATAATATCTCTTTTATTTTATATAATTGAATATAATACACAATTCAATTTCCGACCTGAATTTACTATTTGTTTTTATTGTCTGTTGTTACACCAATGTCACAGGTTAGGGAGAAAAGATGAGTGCTTACATTATGTTGAAACACGGAATTTTACTCATGTATCTGTCCCAAGTCAGGAGCCTGTAATTCAAAGGTTGTCGCTTGTTGCTGTTCGTCAATTAATTTTGTTGGTTTTTCCCGTTTGAACTGTTTCACATTTTTTCATGTAGAGATTTTTATATACTTTTGCACATTATATAAACCGTACAGTGATCTATAATTGCTTATATCCTCGTCATTTGGCTTCGAGTGGATAGTTGACGATCATACCATATCTATTTAATTTTATATAGGTGAGTAAAATACACAATTCAGTTTCCGAGAACATGAACATTTTATTCATTATATCTGAAAATGCTGTTAAGCTATTACAACTCAAGGTTAATAGAATAAAATCATGGTTATCAAGCGTTGTCACTTATATTTCTAAAATATCAACCAATCAGCGGAATTTTAATTTTGACCAAATCTATTTTTGATGCAGATATTCGCAGACTAAAATGGAAATTATGGTAAAATAGAATGCGTTTAGTAGATATAAAACATGGTAATATTCTTTACAAAGCACAAAAATGTCGGCATTCACCTCAAAAGCTAACCAAACCATTAAACAGACTTTTCCGGAAAGGATATAGTTACAATACTGTTGTCAAGTCATTAAGGATTGCATATTTAGGTATAAATATTGATTCATCGGAAATAAACACATTTATTCTAAAACCAGTTGTTGGCATGATACGGGTTATGTTCTTCTCATATATTTTATGATGGTATGATACTAAACCCCTTACGGGAGGGATTGTACTTCATTTTCATATGATGAAGACATAATCTTTCAATCAGTTTAATTGAGGTCTGGAGCTGGCATTTCAGTAACTGGTTTCAGTCCTTTGTTCATTTATGTATTATTGTCATTTTGCTTAGTTTCTTTTGTTACCTATTTTGACATCGGACTCGGACTTCTTTTAAACTGAGTTGTACTGTGCGTATTGCTATGTGTTTCTTTATTCTACATTGGCTAAAGGTATAGGGGAGGGTTGAGATCTCACAAAACATCTTTAACCCCACCGCATTTTTGCGCCTGTTCCAAGTCAAAAGCCTCTGGCCTTTGTTAGTCTAGTATGTTTTTTAATTTTAGTTCATTTATATGTTTTGGAGTTTAGTGTGACGTCCATTTTCACTGAACTAGCACACAATTTTAGTTAGGGGCCAGCTGAGGACCACCTCCGGGTGCGGGATTTTTTCGCTGCATTGAAGACCCATTGGTGGCCTTCGGCTGTTGTCTGCTCTTTGGTCAGGTTGTTGTCTCTTTGACATATTCCCCATTTCCATTCTCAATTTTATTAATAATGAACTCTTTTAGCATAAGGAGGATTGGATCGGGGTTCGGTGTATTCACATGATTTGTATGTCCCTCCCTACTCTTGAATGTTTTGGTTGTATTTTCCGACCCAACATTTACTTTTATATGTAGTATAGTAAATATAATGAGAGTACTTCAAGTGACTGCATAATATGAGTAAAAGGATATGTGGTTAACATGTCTGCCAAAAGACGTCTTGCATATTTTGGTTAAGTTGTGGTGACAGATCAAAAAATAATATCGTTTCCATGAAGAAAATATTGTTGATCTATCATAAAAAAATTATAAAAATTTTGATGAAGTATGGTGATATTTTTTGTGTTGAGGAAATGGGTTGAACTATAATCTCCAGGATAACTATTTTAATAAATGTTTATTTCCGCGTTAGACAAAGTACTTCATGATTGTTTTAAACCTGCACTTTCCCATGAATTAAATTTTGCGGAAATTTGAAAAGCACATAGTACAAATTATATTTGCATTTTATCAATATGTTTTATGTTTAATTACAGAGAGTTATTCTCCTAGGTTCATCTTCTGAAATGGACAGTCTTTACTTGGTTATCATTTTCCGCATATTGACTGAATGTCATGGAAATGGTGAGTGAATGAACTATAATATAAAAAAAGATGTGGTATAATTGCAAACAAGACAACCCTCCACAAGAGACCAAATGACGCAGAAATTAGTTACTATAGGTCACCGTACGGCCTTCAACAATGAGCAAAACCCATAACGCATAGTCAGATATAAAAGGCCCCGAAATGACAAATGTAAAACAATTCAAACGAGAAAACTAACGGCCTAATTATGTACAAAATAATGAAAGAAAAACAAATATGATACACAGAAACAAAACGACAACCACTGAATTACAGGCTCCTGACGTAGTACAGGCACATACAGAATGCTTATCTTAAATGATTTAAACATGTCTGACTACTGCTCAACACACATTTTTAAGTACATATTGTGTGGCAATGGGAAATAAATTTTCATACAGAAAAACACAAAACACTACGAGATCTCAAAAGCAAATAAAATAACAGAAGAGAGATTACTAGGGGTACGGGAAACTTCGGGCCCAGAAAACACATATTACAATATCTGATACCAATCAAATTAATTACATTAACGTTCCCGAATTTTCTGCACTAAATGTGCTTTTCGACAATTAATGTTTCTTCGGTGATTCTCGAAGCAAAATTATTTGAAAGTTCAAAAACATACTACAAAAGTTAAAGAGCTGAGAGAAGCAAAGAACCAAAAGAAAGTCGAACACGGACAAGGTATTAGAGATATGCATGAGGGAGAGACATTTATTAATTCTACATGATTTACAGAATATGATATCATAATAACAACAAATTTTATTAAAACAATAACCCTTTGTCCATGCCACTACCAAAGTACCTGCTACTCTGCTGGTGATACCCTCGAGGACTAACAGTCCACCAGTAGAGGTATATATTTTTTTAGCTGATCATATTTTGTTTGAAAGCTGTATCGTTCAGTCGCTTGAATAACCTTGTTTATTGAGCAACCATGGCCTCCTCCAACATCTGATGTCAATTACGAAGAAAAGGTCGATTTCTTTTAAAAAAAATCAAATCTCGAACCACTAATATCGTTTCAATTGGGCGGTTAGGTTACAGTTTGATTTTACAAAATGATTTTCAATATCACACAACCCTGTGATAAAAGTAAACAAACAACTATTATCTTAGATTGACCCTTTTTTATTATGTTGCTTTACGGTATTACTTGCTAAAAATCTTGTTCACTACAATGACGATGCAGACAATGCAAAAGGACGAGTAGTAATTCCTAATGAGATCATTTAAGCAAAATGTGTTATAGAAATTAATTTTAACTGTTCCCGTATCATACATGTCAGAAAGGATTGTCTTCTATTTGTTCCACCTGAATTGGTTTTAAGGCGTGCCAAAAAATACCATTTACTTAGGTTAACATATGATATCGATTTCAGTAACCACGACGGTTGGGTTATACCAATTATTTTTGGAATACTTGCTTACCCTTCCTGAACACCTGAGATCACCCCCAGTTTTTGGTGAGGTTCGTGTTGCTTAGTTTTTAAGTTTTCTATGTTGTGTCTTGTGTACTATTATTTGTCTGTTTGTCTTTTTTTATTTTTTAGTCATGGCGTTGTCAGTTTATTTTTCGATCTATGAGTTTGACTATCCCTCTGGTATCTATCGCCCCTCGCTTGATCCATTTAGGAGCATCAAAACCTAAGATTAGCATTGCCTGATGGAGTTGATTAAAAATTTCAGTTTTAGGTCATCGAATAATTCATAACATAAAAGTTTTACCTGAAATTTGTAGCATTAAATCCTGGCGAAACATTAACTGATGAGCAAATAATACTCTATGGGACTGAAAGTCTCCAGTGGGACAGACATGATAGAGCTAGTATTGTGTAAAGTAAATTATAATTACAATGTTCCTTCTATAAATTGTTATGCAATATAGTTAAAACACAGCAAAAAAACTTTGATCCTACTTGACAGTTTAGTATGATCAAATATAGCAATGAGGAAATATATGAAATACCACTTAAAATTTTGCACCAATCGCATATAAACATTCTAAATGGTTTTTTGTTCCGTTATTTAACAAAAAACCTTCAGTATAATTGTCATAAAAACTATTAAAGCTAGTGCTTATCTCATATCTATTTCTAAAGGAATATAAAAATTTATGTTGTGCAGTTTACAAAACTTATCAAAGTAAAATGGTAAGCAATTTTAGTATTTCCTGCTGAACTTATTATCGTAATCGCTATAAGCACTTGTGTAGGGAACTGGAGTTTTTAAAAGTAAATGGTAAGCACTTTTGTATTCAGAATCAGCAACAATATACAGTTCGAAGCTGAAATGTAGGATTCAAAATATAAGCAGTCCTTTTCTGAGGGTATGGAAGGCGTTTACAGAATAAATGTAAGCATAGTGGATCAAAATCGCACATAGATGGGCCAAAAACGAAACGATCAGAAAAAAAAAATCAAAAAAACTAAGAAAAGAGAAAATGCTCAAATTAGATAAAGGATTTAGAAAAAAAGCATCCTAAAAAATATAAGAAAACAATAATGAATAACCCCCCCCCCCCCCCTTTTTCCACCAAATCCAGATTATATATTATCAATGTTATTCAAACTTTAAGCATTTTACATTTAAATTTAACGACCACCTCCTAGAACTTTAATTTTGAAATATATGTTTTAGTGCTTTGCCAGAGTTAAAACCCTCAAAACAGTTTCTGTAAAGGCAATACAGAACATGCATCGAAGTGTTAATTATCGATTTAATTATCCTATTCAAATTTGGTTATCATGTGATTACCATATCCAAAATATCATGTGACTTTTTATACACGTATTTAGTGCAAAGACATAACAAACTGGCCAGTTTAAAACAATTGTATATAAGCCCAGCACATGACCGAAAAAACAAATTGATTTGTATGTAAGTAATTTACACAGAATAAAATGCTTCTTCCATCCTCGCCCTTTTTGTAGAAATATTATGAAGAATGATATGAAATCCAAATTATTGCTAAAAGGAAGGAAAAAACAACCCAGAAAACTTTGAACTGCGCACTTTGACTCATAGTCAGATTGACATTTAAATACAGGAAATATTCCTTTTTACATGATTAACTCCAACTACCTAATTAGGCTTGAATTATTCGGAACAGAAGAATTTTTCTTGCATCAATGAATCAGAAGCCGACGATTGGATACGAAATACACTATCTACTAATACCCATATTTTAAAGTTGAACATATGAAAACGTATTGTCCAAAATCCTGTCTATAATATTTTTTTTTCTTCTAATATTTTGGCAATTCATATGGTTATAATTTTCTTCGACTGTTTATGAAGTCTTTATAATAAATCCTTTGGATGTGTACCGAACGAATTTTAATCTTGGAGAACGTAATTTATTTCTTAGTTGTAAATGGCTTGACCGAGAGTATAATCATGAACATACGGATATCGTTCTCTTTAAGTTTGCTGTTATAACATTTCGAAACGATTTTAGATAATGGAATAAATTTAGTAACGTTAATGTTATTTGAACTAGCTGTCAGTATAGCTGTTTAGCTTTGAGTGGATTGTTAACAATCATATCATATCTCTTTTATTTTATAGAGTTGAATATATTACACAATTCAATTTCCGACCTGAATTTACTATTTGTTTTTATTGTCTGTTGATACACTAATGTCACAGGTTAGGGAGAAAAGTTGAGTGCCCACATTATGTTGAAACACGGGATTTTACTCATGTGTCTGTGCCAAGTCAGGAGCCTGTAATTCAGAGGTTGTCGCTTGTTGCTGTTCGTCAGTTAATTGTGTTGGTTTTCTCGTTTGAACTGTTTCACATTTTTTCATGTAGAGATTTTTATATACTTTTGCACATTATATAAACCGTACAGTGATCTATAATTGCTTATATCCTCGTCATTTGGCTTCGAGTGGATAGTTGACGATCATACCATATCTCTTTAGTTTTATATAGGTGAGTATAATACACAATTCAGTTTCCGAGAACATGAAAAGTTTATTCATTATATCTGAAAATGCTGTTAAGCCATTACAACTCAAGGTTGTTCAAGTTAATAGAATAAAACATGGTTATCAAGCGTTGTCACTTATATTTCTAAAATATCAACCAATCAGCGGAATTTTAATTTTGACCAAATCTATTTTGATGCAGATATTCGCAGACAAAATGGAAATTATGGTAAAATAGAATGCGTTTAGTAGATATAAAACATGGAATAATGAACTCTTTTAGCATTAGGAGGATTGGATCGGGGTTCGGTGTATTCACATGATTTGTATGTCTCTCCCTAATCTTGAATTTTTTGTTGTATTTGCCGACCCAACATTTTTTTTTATATATAGTATAGTAAATATAATGAGAGTACTTCAAGTGACTGGATAATATGATTAAAAGGATATGTGGTTAATATGTCAGCCAAAAGACGTCTTGCATATTTTGGTTAAGTTGTGGTGACAGATCAAAAAATAATATCGTTTCCATGAAGAAGAAAATATTGTTGATCTATCATAAAAAAAATCATAAAAAGTTTTGTTCAAGTATGGTGATATTTTTTGTTTCGTTGAAATGGGTTTAACTATAATCTCCAGGATAACTATTTTAATAAATCTTTATTTCCGCGTTAGAAAAAATACTTCATGATTGTTTTAAACCTGCACTTTCCCATGAATTAAATTTTGCGGAAATTTGAAAAGCACATAGTACAAATTATATTTGCATTTTATCAATATGTTTTATGTTTAATTACAGAGAGTTATTCTCCTAGGTTCATCTTCTGAAATGGACAGTCTTTACTTGGTTATCATTTTCCGGATATTGACTGAATGTCATGGAAATGGTGAGTGAATGAACTATAATATAAAAAAAGATGTGGTATAATTGCAAACAAGACAACCCTCCACAAGAGACCAAATGACGCAGAAATTAGTTACTATAGGTCACCGTACGGCCTTCAACAATGAGCAATACCCATAACGCATAGTCAGATATAAAAGGCCCCGAAATGATGAATGTAAAACAATTCAAACGAGAAAACTAACGGCCTAATTTATGTACAAAATAATGAAAGAAAAACAAATATGATACACAGAAACAAAACGACAACCACTGAAATACAGGCTCCTGACGTAGTACAGGCACATACAGAATGCTTGTCTTAAATGATTTAAACATGTCTGAATACTGCGCAACACACATTTTTTAAGTACATATTGTGTGGCAATGGGAAATAAATTTTCATACAGAAAAACACAAAACACTACGAGATCTCAAAAGCAAATAAAATAACAGAAGAGAGATTACTACGGGCCCAGAAAACACTTAAAGCATTGTGACTATAACATGTAAAGTAACTCACCTTCGAGAGGACAATTTTTAAACGAAGAAAGACATTCTTGGACATTAGAGTTCGGGAAAAGACAAATATTTTTGTGTAGTAAAGCAATTTCGCCTGTTTTTGATAAATTCTATGATCTTGTTCTAATTGAGGAACTTTGTTATAAAAAAAAATACTTTGTACAATTCCGAAAGTTTTGTTTTCAATAACATAAAACATTTCTTGTCAATATAAATTATATCGTACTAATACTAAGCTGTTTATACTAATTCTTACTTTTATTTATTATGTTGTTGTTTCCTAAGTAGCAAAGACTTTTTCTTCTGTTTTTATGGAGTTTTTTTCTTTTGTTTCACAAATGGGCTTTACCAGAACAATTAAGCAGACGTTCCATATGGATCTATGGAATCTTAGGGGAAAACAGTTGTTCCGGAATAATTTCATTAATGGTTGATAATCAAATATTCATATATTGTCTATTTGGAATAATTTCACATTTTTATTTCAAAATTAGCACAAAGAGCTAACGAAGAAAGAGTGGATTGCAAAGGACATTATAACAGCGAGGGGTTGTTTTCGTGCTTTTATGAAAAATACCATAAAGAAAAAGGCTGTATGAAAATTATAAAGAAATTTATGCAAAGAGGTAAGCATATTACTGATAACTGTTTATAGTTATAACCATTTATATTTGATTTGACAGTACATACGTACAAAAATATACATACAAATGGAATGACACAAGAGTACTTTTAAGAGCGATGTAGTGCAGAGTCTGCCGATTGTTCCGCCAAATTCCATTCAAAACAATTGACATTTATCTATCTAGTTTCCGTAAGAGAGAAGAAACAAACACAGATATGAATAGCAAGCTAGGCGCATATATATTAAGGTAGTTAATATACTAGTCAACAAAAGAAACGATACAAGGCAATGCATTTTCCATATATAATCAAATTTGATACACTGTACCAAGGTAAATAATTGCCCAATTGGTTTTATATTTACAGTGTTATTTTCTTATCAAAACCATTGATTTAAGGCAAATACACGATTTTTTTGCAATTTGTTTTATTTCAAAAATCGTATTTTCACCCAAAAATTCAAAAATTGATATTAGAACCTAAAACTTTAAACTTCAACATGGTCTGCTCAGATTTTTTTAATCATATTCATTTGCTTAGCAAATGAATGTTTTTCATTGGATAATTTAACAGTTTTCCTATTCATCATATTTTATGATAAATTGGAGTTCAAACTTGTGTATCGTTACTTTTGTTGACAAGTATATACTGGATATTAATATTCATAATGTAATTGTTTAGTTCGATATTCCAAAACATGGTGGGCATTCTAACGGAAATTGTATGCATTCCTTACGAACGGTTGGTATCAATTTACACTGAATTTCTTTCACTCACCGGGTCGAAATCGAAACGTTTTTAAAACTCTCTGTTATCAATATATTACAGAGAGTATAAAATATACTGTATTAAATAGGTTTTTCATAAAAACAAAGTCGTTTCAATGTTACACATTACCGTGGATGACTATTTCAGAACAAAATTATAAATTGTACATTTCTTGTAAAATTGCACCGAAGGAATCCTTAACCAAAATGAACAAATTTGAATCTGAAAGACACTAAGTGTCTTATGCATGTTAGGGTTGCTGTCTCATTGACATATATTCCATATCTGCTTTTATTCATAAGACAAAGCTTTACCTTTGATAGCATATTGGTGTTGCTCAAAATATCCTGCTGTGAATTTAGGAATAGAAAGGACTTTTAGAAAAAAGGCCTTGTGTGAAATAAATTCCGGGGAAATTGGCCGCATCTCTTTGTCCCTGTATTCGTATTGATTGAATGACTGATTGGTTGATGATCGCTTAACGTCCAGTGGGAATTATTTTTCATGAATATTTATGAAGTGAAACTATTAACAAAAAATGCAATAGGTAGATTTTGCGATGTGGGAAGAAGGGCTGGACATTTGTACTGCCACTGGGGGAAAAAGTATGTTGGATAAGGGAAAAATGTTTGCAGTTCAACAGGCCACCTACGGACCCCTCAAACGGTTGGTGCAAGAGGTCTTTGACGTGCAGAGAGCGTGGCACTTTCTCTTTGTGAGGCATACAATTTAACGTTTCCATTCTTACACGCGTGGCTGCGAATTTATACATCCATCACAGTCAAATGGACGCCTCATTTCGTCAATGGTTTTCCCGTCTGTCAGGAGAAGTCCTACATGACCAAATATCTATATCCGGTCATTTTTTGGGTCTATTCGTTTTAAAGTGAATTCACGCCAAAGGAATAATTTCTCCTACTGCTGACGCTTTAAAGTCACACAATATCAAGTGCAATTGTGTGTAAACAAGGATATCCTAGACACGAGATAATATAGTTCTCGTTTGGACTAATACTGTTTAAATGATATAATGCATAAAAGAGGATCACAGGACATACTTAAATTTTAAAGAACAAAAGACCACACCAATCACCAACATGCTGCTCTTCAAAGAAACTAGCCGTAAAAACAAAAAAAGAACAAATCATTGTCGCGATAGTTTGATTTCGAACAGACGGAACATGTTGTGTGATTAAACCAGTATAAGAGCCCACAAACCTCACCCTTTACCGACCTAGACCATACGTCGTTATAGTAAAACAAACAATAAAAAAACTAGCTGATACTAGAGTATATTTTGATATTTAAGATTTTAGTTCCAATAGTATTCTTAATACAGAGAGCATTTGGGTTGGGTTTTTTTTTTAAACTTTAAACTAATTTCTATAGAATTTTTGCGTTGTCAATTATTTGAATTTTTCATTTTTTTAATAAATTTAGTGTGCTTATCAGTTCTTTCTCATTAGCAGCACTTATAAATATAGACACTACAAACTGCTCACAGTCTGAAAAGACCATATTTTGCACTGATTTTACTTGATAAGACTCGACATTATCTCGACAGTACTTAACTGTAATTAACTGTACTCGACTTAGGTTTCGACTTTACTTAATAAGTCTGATTCAGTATTTCATAATCTTGGTGTAGTCTGAAATGGTATCTACAAAGGCTCGACCAGTTTCGACCTTCAAATTTAGTCTTGACTGGTCTAAATCAGCCCATCTGTCTCAATTATATATTGATCTTACAAAATTCCAGGTTATTTGGTAGTTTGGTTCATTGTTGTCAAATTAAAGGATTTAATTAATACGTAAAATAAGCAAGAATTTTCAGTTTTGATTAAACTCAGATAGTTATCTTTAATTATTTCTATGACGTTTTTAAATCAACTTGTATTTTCATAAAACTCTACAGCTATCTCAATTATACATTGATCTTACAGAATGCCAGGTTGTTTGAGAGTTTGGTTTAAGCTGTCAAATTCCAGGATTTAATTAACGGGTAAAAAAAGCTAGAATTTTCAGTTTGGACTGATTTAAGATAGTCACCTTTAAATTTGTTTATTACCTTTTCAAATTAACTTGGATTTTCTTAAAAAAATACAGCTATCTCAGTTATATATTGATCATACTGAATTCCAGGTTGTTATGTAGTTTGGTGTATTGCTGTCAAATTTAAGGATTTAATTAATCTAGGTAAAAAAAAGCTAGAATTTCAGTTCGGACTAAATTCAAATAGTCATTTTTAAATTTTTTTATAACTTTTTCAAATCAGCTTGAATTTTCATTAAACTATACAGCTATCTCAGTTATATATTGACCTTAGTGAATGCATTCTTGTTTGGTACTTTGGTTAATTGCTGAAAAAAATAAGGATATAATTGATAGGTAATTTTAAATAAGCTAGAATTTTCAGTTCGGACTGAATTCTGATAGTCACATTTAAATTTGTTTAATACTTTTTGAAATTAACTTGGATTTTCATAAAACTAAACAGCAATCTCAGTTATATATTGATCTTACTGAATCGTAGGTTGTTATGTTGTTTGGCATATTGCTGTCAAATTTAAGGATTTAATTAATCAAGGTAAAAAAAGCTAGAATTTTCAGTTCGGACTACATTCAGATAGTCATCTTTAAATTTTTTTTTAACTATTTCAAAGCAACTTGGATTTTCATCAAAATCTACAGCTATCTCCATTATATTTTTATCTTACAAAATACCAGGTTATTTGGTAATTTTGTTTATTGCTGTCAAATTTAAGTATTTAAATTATAAGTATCTATCTGAATTTAGTCAAAATTAAAAATTTTAGCTTTTTTGTACCTATTAACTAAGTCCTGAAATTTGACAGTAATACACCAAAATACAAACTACCAAACAACCTAGCATTCTGTAAGATCAACATTTAATTGAGATAGCTTTAGAGTTTTATGAAAATCAAAGTTGATTTGAAAAAGTTATAGAAATAATTGAAAATGACTATCTGAGTTTAATCAAAACTGAAAATTCTTGCTTTTTTACCTATGAATTAAATCCTTTAATTTAACAACAATGAACCAAACTACCAAGTTACCTTAAATTGTGTAAGATCAATATATAATTGAGTTAGATGGGATGATTCAGACCAGTCAAGACTAGATTTGAAGGTAAAGACTGGTCGAGACAGGTCAAGACTGGTCGAGACAGGTGAAGACTGGTAAAGACAGATCGAGATTTGTCGAGACTGAGTCAAGACTGGTCGAGACAGTTCGGGATTGGTCGAGCCTTTGTCGAGACCATTACAGACTACACCAAGATTATCAAATACTGAATCAGACTTATTAAGTAAAGTCGAGACCAAAGTCGAGTACAGTTAAGTACTTTCGAGATAATGTCGAGTCTTATCAAGTAAAATCTGTGCTCGACCTTACTGGTCAAAATATGGTCTCTTCTTTTTAGTTATTCCAACAAACTTTCGTATTCATTTTAGATAGAGTCGTTTGAGAAGGAATGTCTTAACCTCTTTGTCTTAAATTATATCCACATTAACGTTTACGATATTGCCTCGTTTTATCTTCCGGTGAAATGTTTAGACATTATTAAGAAACTAAGGCTTAAAATCTCTCAAGCAAAGGCTGACATTAGATGGTTTGGCAATTTCTGTATGTTCTTTGTTTGTTAATATAAGTCCTTAAGCATTTTTATACATCCGCGGCCTTAAAAGTTTGGGTTTTGTCCATATCAAATTTATAGTTTGTTATTTTTTGTCTTCTATTTAAAGATACCCTGTTACTGAATTTTATTTTGTCCGGAAGATGGTTAGAGAACCGAACTACGAGAATAAACCGTATCGACTATTATGCTTTAATATAGTTTGCAAATCTTTTAAGATGAATTTCAATGATCGTTAATGGAGTTAATTTTGGTTGTGTATTAAACATCTGAAAGTTCGACACAGTTTGAATTTGTTGTTTCGTTCTTTTTCAAGATATAAACAATGAAATTTGTTCCATTGTTCTTGCTAATTAAAGAGAAAACGTCATATGCTTATTAATTTTTTATAAGACCTATAAGATCCATGACGGTTGTACAGAAATATCAACTTTTTCTCTTTTCTGTTTAAAGTAAAAGATTTGTATGAATTTGAGCTTGAATGTGCAGAATAATTATTTTTTACAAATGTTAAAATAATCCGTATAAATTTCTGAATTCTGGTCGTATGATCTATGAGATTGTACCATCCTTAAAAACCAATGTATAGTCAAGATAACCGTCTTTTCAGTATGCAGTTTTTCAGTTAAAAAATCATACATTGTACATTGACTTTTATACATTGTACATTGACTTTTAATGAAAGTTACCCGTGGGAATCATCAGCTGATCTCAGCTCAGTAGTCAGTGCTTTTTAATCCACCATTTTCTACATAAGGAAATGCTTGTACCAAGTCAGGAATATAACAGTTGTTTTCCATTCGTTTGATGTGTTTGAGCTTTTGAGTTTGGCAATTGTTAAGGGACATTCCGTTTTGAATTTTCCTTGGAGTTCAGTATTTTTGTTGTTCTTCTTTTTGGTATTGACATGTTTTCAACAATTTTATAAATACTCCCTTTGATAAATAAAGAAATTATTCAGAATTTAAGAATTAGGCAAAGTTGACCTTAGATTAATCCCTGATATGTCCTTTTTGGTCAGATAGCTCATATTTTTTCTACGTTTTTATAACTCCCTGGCTTTAAAATGTTAAAGTTTGAGTGTTTCTTAATGAAAAACATCCAGAAAAGCACTTCGTACGCATGCAATTTATATAGTGTTAATTTCATTTACTAGTACTGGATCTATACTTTTGGTATATTGGAGTGTTGGTCAAAGAGCTCAGTATTCAGTGCGTCTGTACTGAAAAGATTTTAAAAACAATTTAAAATTCCACTTTGATAACTTAGGAAATTATTTTATAACTTATGTTTCAACTTAGTCATGCAAAGATGACCTTTAGTGAACTAGGCTGTACCTTTTCCCCATTCTCAATATATTTCTTGCGGGAGTCACAGTTTGTGCTCCTTGTGTTAAAAAAAAGAGGCGGAAGATACCAAAGGGATATCCAAACTCACGAATTGACAATACCAGGCTAATAACGAAAAACGACCAAAAGACAAACAACTGTTTACAAAAACCAACATGGAAAACTAAACCCGAACCCAACCAAAAACAGGGGATGATCTTAAGTGCTCCGAAAGGGTAAGCAGGTCCTGCTCCATCCATTTATCCAGATCCTTTGGTTAATTATTTTCATTGCATGTTCATTTAATATCCTTCATTATTTTTTTTTTCTGTTAGGGTTTAAACACCAACAATCAATCAGTTGATGTAACATACAAAATGGATAGTATATATAGTATAGTTTTCGACCTACAATTAATAGTCAACACTTACTGTGGTAAAAAGAAGTTAAAGACAGACGTCTTGGTTGTACTTGTTTCCACTGTTTATTCATATGGTAGTTTTAAAATCACTTAAAATAAAAAGTGATTGGGGAAGGTTTTGGAAAAAAACTAATGTCGTCCTAGCCAGAAAATAATCATTCTATGAGTAATATAAATTTATTTTTCCTTTCATATGATTTCATAATATCTAGCCTGGTATGACAGTCCAACTAATCAATGTTTGGTGGAGCATTCAAAGTTTCCATGTAAAAATGGTTATGAAAACAAAAACTGTACGAAAGAAACGTGCAAAACATTGTTGTTTTTTTGTACAGGTAAGTTCACATTGAACCAATCTTCACATCTTATTGTAATGTGAGCAAATATATTCATAGTTTGTATCAAATATACCACCCTCGACTTGGACGTAAAAAGTAAAAAAAAAAAGCTATTTCTGTCAAAAAGTATTACAGGTTTTTTTTTCTTTTTAAAAGTCAAAAATGCTTCGTTTCAACACATTTTGGTTAAATTGAAGTGTTGTATTCTTTAAATTAACCCTTTACCTACGTTTCTACTAGTATGCATTGTATCAAACGCATTCAGTACCACTTTTTAACGTATGTAAAATTTTAGACAGGATTTCTTGAACATAGACAATTGTGGCCATTTGTGTTTTTCCTTTTATATATTTTGGATAGGAGACACTTATCCTGACGACACTACCGGTCTAGATCCTTTTACGAGCCATCACGAGTTCGTTGGCCGTTATGGAATATCCGTTTCATAGATGATAGCGGATATGTTCCTAATGTCGTAACTACAATCTTGTCCCCTTTTCCCTATTGTGACCTACCGAATTAGATTTATTACCGGGTTTGTACTAACATTAGCAACACGACAGGTGCCACATGTAGAGCAGGAATGGCTTACCCTTCCGGAGCACCTGAGATCATCCCCAGTTTTTGGTGGTGTTCTTGTTGCTTAGTCTTTAGTTTTCTATGTTGTTTTTTGTGTACTATTGTATGTCTTTTGGTCATTTTTCTGTTTTTGTCACGGCGTTGTAAGTTTATTTTCGACTTATGAGTCTGAATGCCCCTCTGGTTTCTTTCGCCTCTCTTTTAGATTTCAGTTCAATTCCCTTTTATTTGTTACCTTAATTTGTCTCTTCCGAATCGATTTACGAGAATTTGAAAATTGGTAAACTACTGTGCCCTGAATTTGGGTTTACTTTTTCATATTGTATTGTAGAAACAGGAGTCGTATTTATAAAAAGCAGTATGACACGTCTATATCAGAACTGCTCAAATATATAATGGCTGTGTAAAGACAAGTAAATGACTTATGTTATAGCCTTGTATAGGATAAAATTAGAATGTTTTTTAACCACAACAGTGTCAAATTAGAGTTCTTTTTATGCTGTTGTTGGTCCTGATAGGTCTTAAAGAATAACATAAAAAAGAATTAATACAAAGGTCGAATGTATACAAAGGTCTCTTTGGTCTCTTGAATTCGAAAAAAAACACTTAAATAAATCTACCAAATAGCATTTTTAATGTGTTTTAAAAACATTAATCTGATAGATATTGGTATTCATAGTTTCAAATTTTGTCTCACCTATAAGTATTACGGATTCAAACTTATTGAATTTAATGCAAAACTGAAAAACGGTAGAAATAGCCTCTTTCCTAGATCTTGTTATTGATATTCAAATATGAGCAAAGCCTTTAACCAAAAAAAATTTTGCTACAGCATGTTTTTTATAAACATGTCAGTGTGTGTGAAATCTTTCTTTTTCGGTAAAGCTTAATATCCATTGTGTTCAAAGCCATTTTTAGGCAAATTTGAACATGTATATGACGTCACAGTGACATAACCAGTGCATTTTGTGTACTATGTCCATATTATATTAATCTATTAATTTATCAATGAAATAAACATAATTTTGAAAGTCTTAAATACTACTAATCTTAATACTTTTGCAATTTCGGGGGCCACATGATGGTTCTTATCATATATCCGTCTATGATTTGCTTTTTAAATTATTTTTTTTAAGCTTTGTTGGTAATTTTTATTGCAGAAAGTATGCGCGAACAAAGATTAAAGAAAAGTGGAAAAAATGGTGCCGAAGTAACAACAAAGATTAAACAAAATGACAATCTTAATAGAAACAATGATACTATGAAGGGTAAGACAGATATAACACATTTACATAGTCCCGGAATATCGATTATGAAGGATCAAAGCGAGCTTTTAATAGTTCAAAAGTAGTAAAGCACTTGTACTGATTGCCTTTTTAGTCTTAGAAAACAAGATTTATTTATTAGTTGGAATTGAACTTTGTACTAGCTTTTAGCAACTGAGAGTACTCTTTGATCGGTATTTTGTGTCTTTCTTATTTTGTTTTTGTGCTTAGAACCTATCAAATGAGTCAAGCCTTTTTCAACTGCTTTATATAGTTTTGTTATTATTGTACTGTAAAACAACTGTTCTAGGTTAATGGTGGAGTTAAGCGCTCACAACCATGTTCGATCTGTTTCTTTTAATAAAGTCAGTTAAAAGGTATATTTGTTTTGTAATTTAAAAGATTTGTCTTTTTTAATGATTTCTTTTTTGTATAATTAACCTTAGAATATAATTCAGATAGAAATTACTTTTTTTCTTACAAATAAGAATTAGAAGGCTACATATTTTGCGTCCACCCTAGTTTTTTCAAATGTAATTTATTGTACTCTTTCTTAAAATGTACATAGTAGATAACATCGACATTGTTAACCATGTTAACGGTACCAAATATATTGTACCAGATACGCATTTCGACAAAGTACTTAAACTATCCTTATATAGAACGGCCCTCCTTAGACACTTAAAGAAACCGCTGTACTTCAATTTAGATATGAAAAGAGTATCTTCATTAACAGACAAGAACAATCTTTTGCATTGCTCAAAGCCAATTTTGAAGAATCGAGGTTAATACCTAGAAATAGAAGATGCGATGATTTCACAACAAAAGTATACTCATATATCCTTTTAAAAGACTTATCAAAAAGTCTATTTAACAAATAAAAATTGGAAGGACAATCTTATTGTGCCTATTTCTTTTATAGATACTCTTGTCATTAAGAGCTAGGAATGAAAGACCTTTTTTTGGAAATTGATAAAAGTAATATCTTACCACCACAATAATTCCCTATATGTGTGATTAAATGTTGTTAAAGCTTTAACATATCTGTATTTATGTATTAATTTTTTGTTTAAACAATGAATATACATTCCATTCATTTCAATATGAGATTTCACTGCAAACACATGGGTATTGAACCAATTAGAAATGTAAACTCTATAAGATGGAGTAGACAAAATATCCTCATTACGAAAAGGATAATACCAATTAGGAAAAAAATAAGTTGTTATAAATTAACCATTATGTTTCCGCTGAAATTTCTTTTTCCGAGATTTATGAATTTGACTGTCCCTCTGGTATCTTTCGTCCCTCTTTTATAACCACTTATGAGTTTGACTGTCCCTCTGGTATCTTTCGTCCCTCTTTTATAACGTGTTTGATAAATACTTTTCGTAAATTTAGAAAAATCGGCAGCATTAGGCAAGTTAAGAGACAATTAATCACCTTAATATCTGTAGGTGTTGTTTATATATATATATATATATATATATATATATATATATGACTGAATAATAGCCAACGACAAATCTTACGGGTCGATGGATCATATAAATATGATACAGTACACTACAAAATATAATATATAACCAGTCTAAAAGGGTACAACATCACCAAAAAATGACAATAAACGAACAAATGTAACTATAAATATTTCGGATAACAGATATCCTTCATCAGTATGAGCACGATGTAATATGAATCAGATCAATCTATTCTGATTATTTAACTATAGCAATCTTGATTTCTATACAATAAAAAAAGTGAAACAGTTTCACCCGAACATCATATGTAAAGACGCTAATAAATTTTTTAAATTTCCAAAAAACGACTCAAAGACATGCCTAAAATGAAAATAGTAATTAGAGATATGAACTGGCACAACTCTAAAATTCCAAAATGACGTCAATTAAGATGTAACAACAACTGCGTGTAAATACATTCCCCAAAAAACAGCACTGATCGATATAAGCTGGTAAAATATGTCAAACAGATGCTGCGTCTTTATCATCCCAAATAAATAGCAGTTTTATAATGAAAAGAAAAAATAATAGTAAATAAGGGCTAAGGTTAAAAAATTGGACGTGGATGCGTACTTGTACATCCCTACCAAATGAAAAGAACCCTGGTATTTAAACTAGTAAAATTAAAAAAATTCCAAAAGAATCCTTAAAACTGTAAGGGTCAAGTAAGGAAGCCGGAGTAACTGGAAACAAATGATGTCAGGAAAATGAGTGATGGTAGGGAAAATGAGTGACTCATTCTATGTTTTTTTCATTTATGCCCTCTGGGGAAACTGTCCTTAGCTTTCTTAGCCAAAACCTTTCCCGAGCAAGTCTTTCGGCCCTTGACCAACCCTCGTTGTGGTCTATGATTGTGATTGTAAGGTTTTTGAGATCAGCTTGGGCGTGCCCAGGTGATCTCAAATGACGACTTACGGGGAGGTCGGGCTTGCAGGTGTAGTCACTTCGATGACCATTCATGCGTTTGTTGAATGGCTGTTCTGTCTCGCCAATATACTGCATGCCACATCGACACTGAAGAAGGTATACAACATTCTGTGTTTTGCAAGTTACATTACAAAATATAGTGTACATTTTCCTGACATCATTTGTTTCCAGTCACTCCGGCTTCCTTACTTGACCCTTACAGTTTTAAGGATTCTTTTGGAATTTTTTTAATTTTACTAGTTTAAATACCAGGGTTCTTTTCATTTGGTAGGGATGTACAAGTACGCATCCACGTCCAATTTTTTAACCTTAGCCCAAATTTACTATTATTTTTTCTTTTCATTATAAAACTGCTATTTATTTGGGATGATAAATACGCAGCATCTGTTTGACATATTTTACCAGCTTATATCGATCAGTGCTGTTTTTTGGGGAATGTATTTACACGCAGTTGTTGTTACATCTTAATTGACGTCATTTTGGAATTTTAGAGTTGTGCCAGTTCACATCTCTAATTACTATTTTCATTTAAGGCATGTCTTTGAGTCGTTTTTTGGAAATTAAAAAAATTCATTAGCGTCTCTACATATGATGTTCGGGTGAAACTGTTTCACTTTTTTTATTGTATAGAATTCAAGATTGCTATAGTTTAAAAATCAGAATAGATTGATCTGATTCATTTTACATCGTGCTCATACTGATGAAGAATATCTGTTATCCGAAATATTTATAGTTACATTTGTTCGTTTATTGTCATTTTTTTGTGATGTTGTACCCTTTTAGACTGGTTATATATATATATAAGTCTATAAAAAGGACCAACCAGCAAATTTACTATGTACCGGATCGTCTAGAATAGACGATACTGTGCAGATAAGGAAAAAAAATTATATAAGTCTAGAGATTTGCACAACGATACTAATATAAGATGGTATTATACGAAGATGTTGTTAATAAATCGTGTTGACAAATATTTCGGCTTAACAAATAGCCTTCTTCGGTGTCAATTATTTTAACAATACTGTATTGTTAAAATAATTGACACCGAAGAAGGCTATTTGTTAAGCCGAAATGTTTGTCAACACGATTTATTAACAACATCTTCGTATAATACCATCTTATATTAGTATCGTTGTGCAAATCTCTAGACTTATATATATATATATATATATATATATATATATCAAGTTCTAATATTTTATTTCGACTCTTCAAAATTCAAGAGTCTATCCTAAATTGAGGTAAATTATATGGCCTTCCAAATACCGTTTCGATCCCTAACATCACTGAAGAGACTTTAATTGTCGAAATCCTGATATGGTGTACTAATTTTTGCACCTTTTGTTTGCGGTATACCATCTTATTCTTTTCTGTATGGTATTAAATTAATAATTTTAAAAGATCCATTTTGTAACATCTTGTGATCCGTTTATTTGGCAATCGCCAATAGCAGTCAACAGGGTTTAAGAACATCTGTTGTTCGATCTGTTAGTCAAATGCGTTTTGTTAAAATATCCTTTTTAAAAACTTTTTTGGTCTTTTGGAAAATGTTGTTTGTGCTGTTATTAGACCCCTCTATCAAGAAATTTGTTTTGCATACACACGTATAAAAATTGCGGTTTTTATCTAACGCAATCATAGGTTTGAACGTTGTTTTCAATTTAGACTTGTATGTATCAAGTGGTACACCGTGGGATCTTTAGGTAGCACGGTAGTATTTGCATTCCAGAATTTAGGTTGCTCTTTTGTGTACCCTACTTAAGTCAATGTATCTGAACATTATGATTGGACAGAAAATACAGTATCAACTGAACATACTTTCCCAAACTGAGGGATGAATCAGGTGTAGAAAAATATGAAATAATTTTACATACAGATGAAAATGAATTTTTGAGAATTTTTTTAAATTTTGTATTCACTGCACGATAAAAGACCTAAAAGCACTAGTGGCCTTAGGTTCTTAAAGATAGCAAAAAAAGTAAACGGTCATGATACATATTCAAATTCATTTCTGAATAGTAAAATGAAAGTACTTCAGTTAACTGTGAATGTAGAATTTTTAGCAGTGTTAGAAAGTGGTGAAAATTCTAAAAAGGCTATCATTATCCCTTATGGGTCAGAAAATACTACCGTGCCACCTTAAGGGGGGTATACATGTTTACACTAAATCAATGAAGGATTTTTTTTTACCTATGCAATTTGTAAGTTTATCAATAAAAAGTTGATTAAGGGCAACTATGATAAAAACAGCCCTTAAATTCCACCCCTGGGAGTGAAAATTGCTGATTCAGCAAATTTTGCCTGATCTTTGGGTAATAAAGTAAAAATTTACCTAGAAAGTAGAACTTCATTATTTTTATGTAACTTGCAATACATTTTTAATTATAAATGCTCGCTTTAATTTTTCGCAGTGTCTGACACATGTGCAACCACTGGAATTTGAGACGCGACATTTTTTTTGCCTGTACATCCTATTATTTTCACCGAAATAAATAAATTGCATAATTTCTTATTTTTTTCCACACTAGTACAGCTTTACTAGTTTTCTTTAGATTTAATTTGTAGTTCTGTGGTAACATGACACCAGTATGAGCTTTTTTGGAACCAGCAAGTGGTTAAGGGGTCCTTACTTATTCATTTAGCCCTCATATTTGGCTGAAATAGAGATAGCAATAGGGGTTTCTTTACACTGACAAGACATTTTCTTTTGACAAAGAATGTAATTATGACTGTTTATCAGCAAGATTAAATAGTTTATTCATTTTCCATGCAAATGTCATTAATTGTTTTGATTTTCTGACAATGAAAAGCACAATAAAGGTAAAATGATTATGTAAGGGGACATAATTTAACTTAATGCATACATGAGAAATAGACAAACAGTCAACTTAGAGATATATTCTAGTACATATATTGTCAAAAAGATTTTAGAATAATAGTTAACTGCCATCTAAAGAATCTTGTTGTGCTGCCTTCATAATCTGAGAATGCTTAAAGTAATGTAAGGCATGCTGTAAAATGTGGAATGGACTTTAATATCATTTTTCATGATTTGGTGCTTAAACTGTTTCTTTCTGTCAGATTAACTATAAATAGAGTTGGCAATCCAATAATTCCTCCTGTATCACCATGTTTGACTTCTGTGTTGATTTGAAACATCATATATTTGGATTTTGTTCACTCCTTAAGTAAAAATGGTAAGATGATAAAAAAGTGAAAATCTGCCAGCTGGGGTAGATGTGTAATCTTTCATTTTTTTTTGGTAAGAAATAAGTGCAGACTAGTATTCCTTATTGTAATATGTTACATAATAAGAAGGCTATGCATCATAGGTGTCATGACTGATTTCAAGTTTGAAATGTCTTGGTTAAGGTAGCACGGTAGTATTTGCATTCCAGAATTTAGGTTGCTCTTTTGTGTACCCTACTTAAGTCAATGTATCTGAACATTATGATTGGACAGAAAATACAGTATCAGCTGAACATACTTTTCCAAACTGAGGGATGAATCAGGTGCAGAAAAATATGAAATAATTTTACATACAGATGAAAATGAATTTTTGAGAATTTTTTTAAATTTTGTATTCACTGCACGATAAAAGACCTAAAAGCACTAGTTGCCTTAGGTTCTTAAAGATAGCAAAAAAAGTAAACGGTCATGATACATATTCAAATTCATTTCTGAATAGTAAAATGAAAGTACTTCAGTTAAATGTGAATGTAGAATTTTTAGCAGTGTTAGAAAGTGGTGAAAATTCTAAAATGGCTATCATTATCCCTTATGGGTCAGGAAATACTACCGTGCCACCTTTATGGCGTTTAGCCCCAAACTTTATTTATTTTTATAAAGCAATACGAGAAGCACACCAAATAATCCACATTGCACTGCCAATCCTTTGATGTGATCATTTATTTCTAAGCGAACACACAAATATAATCGAGTAAAACAAACACACAATTAACTTAATAAAACTAAAAAAAAAAGAAAAACGTAAAGGGAATTTTTTGCCGCTTCAAAAGATACCGTTCCTGTGTATTTTATTCAAAATCATTTGCCTTTTTCAAGCATTCAGCTCTAAATGTTTGTTGCAATATTAAATTTGCTTTAACTGCATTTCTTGACTAATCTCTACTGGGTACGAATATATTGGGAGCGAAGTATAACCATGAGAAACAATCAGCCGAGAATTAATCAAAATGTGCATAATAAACCGAGTTGATGTCAGTTCTTTTGTTATTGGGTGCATGCTAACCTAGAAAAGTCAAATATCAAAGATATTGCGTCAACGTAAAAAAACATAAATTGATGTAAATGTATGGAATGTTTTTAATATATGGGTGTCATAGCTTTTAGTCATATATATCTTGGAGGTACGAAGTTTCTACCATGTTGTAGGGTTCATTATGCTTAGACAGGTCTTTATTCTTTTTACAGATACATTGATAAATTAATATCATACGTATGAAATTATTTAATATATTTTTCTTCAAAATTTCAGTTCATACATGCGTGCAACTTGTGAATAGTGTCTATCTTTTTCAGAGATATTCAAACATGGAGCGATAGTTCATATCTCTGTTGGAATAACAGGCACAATCATACTATTGATACTGATTACTTTGTTTGTATGCAGACGAAGGTAAATTTATTTTTGTTTGTAACACCAACTTTAAAAATACAATTGAAAGATCAGCTTTATTATATTTTGTGATTTGTATAGTGATGTTTGTCTTTTCGTCGGCTTTGCTTTTTTTCCTCTATTTGACCTCTGATTTTTCCTTTGGTTTCTTCTCCGCTTCTGCTTTATTAGGTTGTACTCTTGTATCCTCGTTCTCAAAGCTTTTTATTTTTGATAATTCATGAGCATGATCTACCGAGTCACGACACTTCTACCTTGACTGAACATCTGCAAAGTACATCATCAATTCCTGACAATAATTATCGATTATCAGGCTTTCTGCATATTTTTACTGTAAAATAACAATTGTGAGTAACAATATGAAGCTCTTCGTCGTGTTAGCGCAGAGAACGAGTTAAAAAGGGTTCATATTTTGTCGAACATCTACTATTTTATAATATCGAATTGATGAAAATCTAATGATAGACTGTGCTTATGTTGTTGTTTTTTTTTTTATAAAAGAGGCAATAGTGTTTGTTTTACAATGACTACAAAGTCTCATCAGTGTCGGGTCAAACATCATGACATGTTGATAAGTCCGGCCCGGGTGAAAATTTCAACGTGCTGACCAATTATCAAATAGTTTACTTTAAATGGTGTTGAAAAACGACATGGTATACCTTGTCTGAAAGGTTTGGATGAATGTAATATGTTTTATAAAAAGAGAATAAGAAATCAAGGAAACTATTGAAACAATTGTTCTTAGTTCTCATTTCACCATTATTCTAATTACCAATTATTACATATTTGTTTAACAGATCAAAGAAAAAGAAGAAAAAACAACTGACAAGAATACAGTCTTCCGACCAAAGTACTGAAATGGCAAATCTTAAAAGTGGTCCGTCTAGAACGAAAAAGGAAGGGAACAATATTCTTTCTACAAACAAACCATTGGATACTGAGGAGGCAGAAGGCGAGTACTTTGTTCTCGATCCGTCCGTTACTAAATATGATAAAGTCTTGAACAGTCAAGTCTTACCAGAGGTTACAAGGTTCAATGTTGCAGAGGGTGACGAAAACTTTTACTATGAAATTGATGAAGATAAAATCGAACTCTCAAAACATATACAGGAGGATCACCAACAGAGGCAAATAGAAGATGTAAGTGATACAGTTATTTACCATAATGATCAGACAATAAATATAGGTCCATTAGTATATGACAATACATACTGCAATGTAACATCACAGTAGACAATGAAAGCAACGGGAAAACAAAAGTACTGGCATAAATATCTATATAACGCTCGTATGTATCATATATATTTTTTACATGGACCCTTATGTCTACTAAGATTCTTTGTCATTGTTTTACTGACAATGAAGGATTATCTATAATAGGTAATGTGAAATCTAAATAAAGTAAAGGTTTCGATGTAAAGGAGGAATCATAACAATTTTTATCACTGTCTGACGAAAATGATTAAGACATTTTCCTATACTTTTTTTTATAGTTGATGGTCAAGCTTACTAAACCTTTATTGACATTTATGATAATTTTAAATAACAATTTTTTTTAAAGTTTCACCTTCGATTTACAAATTGTACAAGAATTGAAGTACACCATGGAGATTCAATGCAAAGACCTATATTGATACAGAAATATACTTTGATACGGTATGGGCTTTACTCATTATTGATGGCCATACGGTGACCTATGGTTGCTTAAATCTACTTCATTTGAACTTTGTTTGATAATTGTGTCATTGGAAATCATACTACATATCCTCTGTTTTATATTTGATACGTGTAACGCTTATGGATACCTTTCAAACTACATTTCTGAACAGGTGATATCACACAAGAATTCAGAAGATCACAATATGTTTAGAAACTCCTTTATTTTTGAAACAGCCATTAGCGCTTTTATATCTTTTGTTTAATAATTGTAAAATAAGGAAACCTATATAAATACAAATTTGTCTAATGACGGCTTCGAAATGAAGATATTAACTTTAATCATAACCTTTGTCGGTCTCATTTAACAGAGCTTTTTCTAAAAATAGGAATCGTAGATACAAATTTCTTGTTTAAATCTTATGAAAAAACCGCGCGGATTAAAAAGAAAAAAAATAAGTACGAAAAAGTGGCAAGATCAAAATGATGTAGCTTCTATCAACACAATATTTGTAACGCTTGATTGATTGCCATTTCAACAAACATTTGGTATTCCAATGGATATTAATTTTGGCCCCCTACTTGTCGACTTGTTTTTGAACTTGAATTAGATTTCATACAAAACCTTCCCAAAGACAAAATTTAACTACTGTTTGCTCTATTTAAGAGTTCCGTATGTGCATGTGGGAAAACATTGAGGACAGTTTTCATTTTTTGTAGGTGTATCCTCTTTTGATTAGAGAGCGTGCATAGCTTTTCCGTAAACTAAGAAATTTTCATGATCTCCTTAATATTTAAACATTCCTTTTTCGACTCTATGGACTTTTCTGTAGAGGAAAATGTAAACATAATTACTACTACTTTACAAATTATTAATAGTACTAAAAGGTTTTACTAGTTTTTGTTATGTTATGTTAAGTTAATTAATTGTTTATTTTAACATGCATTTATTTGTTATTTGATTACTTGTGAATAGCTAGTTTGTCAACAAACAAGCATTACGTGTGTTCCATTGTCTTGTTCTTTTTTGCTGTTTTTTTTCTAGACACTTGCCATAAATTCCTATAAATTTTAGAATACAGGTACGTAACAGTTTTTATATTCGAAGCAGCGAAAAACATATCTATGATTTTAGTTTATACTTGTGTAAAATTGTGTAATTATTTTTACCTTCTTTCATAACACATATATCTATATATATATCAAAATTAAAAAAAAAGTAAAATTTTTACATTACTGTTTTGTCTAGCACTTTCAGCCATCTTGGGACTTGTCAAGACTATGTCGTATAGAAAGAAATTAGAGAAAAAAATTATTAAAATATTTGCCTCAAAGATAAACGGCAAATAAACATTCCGTAAACCTGTGTTATCAACAAATTTTTGTAGGTGTATCCTGTTTTGATTAGAGAGCGTGCATAGCTTTTCCGTAAACTAAGAAATTTGCATGATCTCCTTAATATTTAAACATTCCTTTTTCGACTCTATGGACTTTTCTGTAGAGGAATTTATTTTTCAACAAATTGTCGGCATTTCTATATGAACGAACTGTGCGCCTCTCCTTGCCGACCTCTTCTTATTTTCATATGAATCGGAGTTCCTTCAGACAGTTGTCAAAAACAAGAAGATCAAAGAAGCCAGGTTATTTAATTTCACTTTCAGATATATTGATGATGTTCTTTCCATTAACAATCCGAACTTTTCTGATTGGGTTTCATTAAGATATCCACCAGAGCTAGAAATTAATTAAACAACAGACACGGCTTCCTCCGCCTCATTTTTAGACTTATACCTCGGATATACATTTCCCAAATTATTCGGTATTCAAGAGCTTGCAGCTCCTACTCAGACTTTGTAAAACGTCACCAGTGTCTGAGCAGAAAGTTGATGAACCAGGGGTATGTCAAAGAACGTCTCGTCCTTTTTCTAAAAAAGTTCATCGGAAGGTACCAAGAACTTGTTGATACATATTCCGTATCAACTTCACAAATAATACACGATGGTCTTGAAGTATAGATTTTGCGTACTGACGTTGTTTATCATCTTAATAACGTGTTATAGTATTCTTTTATTTATCTTTATTAATAATACTTTTATTGTTAAGTCTGTTTTTGAGATATCCATTTGACGTGACTCTGTGCTTATGTATCCCGTCATACTTTGAACGACAAAATTATTTTATTTATTAATATTACTTTTACTGTTAAGTCTGTTTTTTGTGATATACATTTGACGTGACTCTGTACTTATGTATCTCGTCATAATTTGAACCACACAATTATTTTATTTATTAATATTACTTTTACTGTTAAGTCTGTTTTTTGTGATATCCATTTTACGTGACTCTGTATTTATATATCCCGTCATACTTTGAACGACAAAATTATTTTATGTCTACCTGTGCGAATTTCAAACGCGCGATTTTACGCAAGTACTTAAAACCTTCCATCCTTTATGGGTGGATTTTACATAGATACATAAAATCGTATAATATAAGCAAAATAAGGATATTAAATTTGATGTATGCCTTTTTGTGCTTCTTCGTTACATTTGTTTGTTTTTATAGTGATTAAGATGATAACACAATGTTGACTGCTGTGCCCCTAATTTTGACATTTTTACCTATTGTGTCTGTTTGTTTTGTTCATGCATCGTTGTCAATATAATGGAATTTGATGCGACTGTCATACAAGTGAGATGTTTAGCTAGCTATAAAACTAGGTTCAATCCACCATTTTCTACATATTTATATAATTCTGAACACGGTTTCAAAATTGTTTACGTATTTATATATATATATATATATATAATTGAATGTCTGAATAATAGCCAACGATAAATCTTACGAGGCGATGGATCATATAAATATGATACAGTACACTACAAAATATAATATATAATAAGCAAGTCTAAAAGGGTATAACAACACCAAAAAATAGTAAAATCCTGAACAAATATTAAATATTTCTGATAACTAATATCCTTCATCAGTAAGATGTCAAATGATTCTTATCTTGACATGTGGTAGTCGAACTGAAATAATAATCTTGAATGTCATACAAATTATCACGAATTAATACGCTGGTAAATTTTTTCAATATTGATGTTTGGGGGGAGGAATAAATTCCTTAAAACTGTGAGAGTCCTGTACTGAAGCCTGAGTTAAAGGAAACAAGTGATGGAAACGACTCATTTAATGTTTTTTTTTTCATTAATGCCCTCTGGGGAAACTGTCCTTTACTTTCTAATTCAAAAACTTTCCCGAACAAGTCTGTCGTCCCTTGACAATCCTCGTTGTGGTCTATGATAGTGATGGTAAGGATTTTTAGATCAGCTTGGGCATGCCCAGGTGATTTCAAATGATGACTTAGGGGGAGGTCAGGCTTGCAGGTGTAGTTACTTCGATGACCATTCATGCGTTTGTTGAATGGCTGTTCTGTCTCGCCAAGATACTGCATGCCACATCGACACTGAAGAAGGTATACATCACTGTGGGTTTTGCAAGTTACATTGCAATATATAGTGTATACGATACGGACCCAGTGGAGTGGCGAGTAAATGTTTTAGTATTCAGTATTTGTTGGCAAGTCAGACATCGTCTGTTACCACACGACTTGCACCATCCTGCAGTTGAAGAGCTTTTATAAGGGGAGACATCAGCTCTCACAAATAAGTCTTTCAGACTTTTGGGTCTCCGAAAAGCTAAGACAGGAGGTTTGGGAAAGATCTTAAGATAATTTTGAGTGTTTGGCAATATCCTGCCAATTGGCACGGATGAAATGGGAAAGGTTAGTAAAGGCGGGATTGTATGTTAAAACAAACGGAACTTTTTCGATACGCCTTTTCTGTTTGTACTGTAATAGGTCATTGCGGAACGAGCAAACCCCTTATCTATGTCCCATTTCTTATATCTTCGTTGGGTCAAAAATCCGCGAAGTTCCTGTAAACGTTTAGTGACAGCTTCCTCAGAGGAGCAAATTCGCTTTACTCTGAGAGCTTGACTGTACGGGATACTTTTTGTACAGTGTTTGGGTGACAGCTTTGGGGAGAAAGGTACTGATGTTTATCGGTAGGTTTACAGTAGAGGTTTGTATATATATGATTATATATATAACCAGTCTAAAAGGGTACAACATCACCAACAAATGACAATAAACGAACAAATGTAACTATAAATATTTCGGATAACAGATATCCTTCATCAGTATGAGCACGATGTAAAATGAATCAGATCAATCTATTCTGATTATTAAACTATAGCAATCTTGAATTCTATACAATAAAAAAAGTGAAACAGTTTCACCCGAACATCATATGTAGAGATGCTAATAAATTTTTAAATTTTCAAAAAAACGACTCAAAGACATGCCTAAAATGAAAATAGTAATTAGAGATATGAACTGGCACAACTCTAAAATTCCAAAATGACGTCAGTTAAGATGTTACAACAACTGCGTGTAAATACATCCCCCCCCCCTCCAAAAAAAAAACAGCACTGATCGATATAAGCTGGTAAAATATGTCAAACAGAGGCTGCGTATTTATCATCCCAAATAAATAGCAGTTTTATAATGAAAAGAACAAATAATAGTAAATTTGGTCTAAGGTTAAAAAATTGGACGTGGATGCGTACTTGTACATCCCTACCAAATGCAAAAGAACCCTTGTATTTAAACTAGTAAAATTCAAAACATTCCAAAAGAATCCTTAAAACTGTAAGAGTCAAGTAAGGAAGCCGGAGTAACTGGAAACAAATGATGTCAAGAAAATGAGTGATGGTAGGGAAAATAAGTGACTCATTCTATGTTTTTTCATTTATGCCCTCTGGGGAAACTGTACTTAGCTTTCTTATCCAAAACCTTTCCCGAGCAAGTCTTTTGGCCCTTGACCAACCCTCGTTGTGGTCTATGATTGTGATTATAAGGTTTTTGAGATCAGCTTGGGCGTGCCCAGGTGATCTCAAATGACGACTTACGGGTAGGTCAGGCTTGCAGGTGTAGTCACTTCGATGACCATTCATGCGTTTGTTGAATGGCTGTTCTGTCTCGCCAATATACTGCATGCAACAGCCATTCAACAAACGCATGAATGGTCATCGAAGTGACTACACCTGCAAGCCTGACCTACCCGTAAGTCGTCATTTGAGATCACCTGGACACGCCCAAGCTGATCTCAAAAACCTTACAATCACAATCATAGACCACAACGAGGGTTGGTCAAGGGCCAAAAGACTTGCTCGGGAAAGGTTTTGGATAAGAAAGCTAAGTACAGTTTCCCCAGAGGGCATAAATGAAAAAACATAGAATGAGTCACTTATTTTCCCTACCATCACTCATTTTCTTGACATCATTTGTTTCCAGTTACTCCGGCTTCCTTACTTGACTCTTACAGTTTTAAGGATTCTTTTGGAATGTTTTGAATTTTACTAGTTTAAATACAAGGGTTCTTTTGCATTTGGTAGGGATGTACAAGTACACATCCACGTCCAATTTTTTAACCTTAGCCCAAATTTACTATTATTTGTTCTTTTCATTATAAAACTGCTATTTATTTGGGATGATAAATACGCAGCCTCTGTTTGACATATTTTACCAGCTTATATCGATCAGTGCTGTTTTTTTTTGGAGGGGGGGATGTATTTACACGCAGTTGTTGTAACATCTTAACTGACGTCATTTTGGAATTTTAGAGTTGTGCCAGTTCATATCTCTAATTACTATTTTCATTTTAGGCATGTCTTTGAGTCGTTTTTTTTGAAAATTTAAAAATTTATTAGCATCTCTACATATGATGTTCGGGTGAAACTGTTTCACTTTTTTTATTGTATAGAATTCAAGATTGCTATAGTTTAATAATCAGAATAGATTGATCTGATTCATTTTACATCGTGCTCATACTGATGAAGGATATCTGTTATCCGAAATATTTATAGTTACATTTGTTCGTTTATTGTCATTTGTTGGTGATGTTGTACCCTTTTAGACTGGTTATATATTATATTTTGTAGTGTACTGTATCATATTTATATGATCCATCGCACCGTAAGATTTATCGTTGGCTATTATTCAGTCATTTAATATAATTATATATATATATATATATATGTTACAGTACAAATGGGAATTCAGTAGGATCCAGAAAATCCTGCCAGAACAAGTCGGAATTCAAATATCTACTAGTAGAAATTGGAATTCTTATTTATACTATTCAAAATCCAGTTCCTAAATATTTTAGAAAGCGGACAATATTTTGGTCACTTAAGACGGATGTCTTCACCTCTTGGTCTTGAATGATATCCATAATTAAACGGTAGCGATATAACCACAGGGGTAATAGATATATGGTATAATCAATTTGTTTTATTTTTTTCGGATAATTATCATCAGTAGTAACGTCTTATGTTTATGACGAATACTTAGACACAAGACATCCTGTATAACGTTTATAAGCGTATGAAATTATAGGTAGTTCTACATTATCAAAACGTGGTGATATTAAATTATGAAACTGGTCGGGTATGAAAATATAAAAAACGTTCAGTTATTGGTAAATTTTAATTTAGGAACATGTTAACAATAACCACATAGTTAGGAAACACAGAATATAAACACTTAGTTTAGAAAATTCATTAGATTGTTTACATTCACAAATTTTCCGCTGATATATAGGCAAAGCTATTTTGCAGAATATTACAAGAATTATGGTGGCAGAATTTAGAATCAGTAAATGACTGTCTTATTGCTGTAGTGACAAATGTTTTTATAAAATATTTTAACTTTTATATCAGATTTTATTGCATCTAATAATACTTGATTTTAAAAGAACAAAATTTACTAAAGTTCAAAGTTAACTTTTCTTATCTTTGAAGATTATCAATTATCATTCATATCAACACACAAGTGCTGATTCCTGGGCTGGCGATATTTAAACATGATATTTGATGGTTAAAATAAATTGAAAAACACATGTGAACGTACTCCAATGCATTTTGGATATTTTCTAGAAAAGATTTCAATATTTCAGAAATATTGCTACTTTTTTCTAAATTTATAATTGTCTTGAATAAAATAATTCTATATTGCAAGTGTAGATAAAGAGGAATAAATTGAGATCAGTAGTTAGCTCATTTCTTGGCAAACTGAATTTAACCTGTCCAGAAAAATGTCCACGTGCTGTTTCTGTAAAGTAAGAGTGGGTCTCAGTCTGAGAGAGCTTTCTCCACAGGCACCGGTATTAACACCTATAACAATATACCGGTAATAAGTTTAATATGATGTTTTTAAATGTACAATTATTGCTCTTTTGATTAAAACATTTTTTTATCATGTATTTCATTTTATTTAATATCTTTGATATATAAATGTATCAAATAGTGTCATACAATTGTATGAAAAGTTTTCCAGACATTTAACTTTGAGAGCATTTTTAATATGAAAGAAACAACATGTTGAGATTCGAAGCTGTATTTTTTTATTATGAGTTACTCAGTCTAAAAGTATGTCCTTGTACATTCATCTCACACGACCCAAGACAAAACATTAGTCCATTGTAACTTTACGTTCGTTGTCCCTGATTTCGTTTCCCCCTTCAAAATGTTCAGCTCAATTAAACATGAGCAACACGACTGGTCCACATGTGGAGCAAGATCTGCTTACCCTTCCGGAGCACCTGAGACCACCCTAGTTTTGTTTTTTAAAAATGGGTTCGTGTTACTCTTGCTTTAGTGATAGTGTTGTTCTTTGTGTTTTTTTATTTTTTCAATGTTTGTGTTGTTTATGCTGGTACAGTCTTGTCGATCCTTTGTATTGAAAAACGTCTCAATTTCAAAATTTCACATTCGTTTAAGTTTCAGGGTTAGACAATTTTACATGACCGATGGATTAGAATATGGTAATGTCTCAGGGTTAGATAACAGTATATTACCAATCCACTATTGCGTGATGGGTTATCACTTGAAATAGCTTATCAACGTATTTTATAAGAGTAACACGACGGGTGTCACATGTGGAGTAGGATCTGCTTACCCTTCCGGAGCACCTGAGATCACCCCCAGTTTTTGGTGGTGTTCGTGTTGCTCAGTCTTTAGTTTTCTATGTTGTGTTTTGTGTACTATTGTTTGTCTGTTGATCTTTTTCTCTTTTAGCCATGGAGTTGTTAGTTTATTTTCGACTTATCAGTTTCAATGTCTCTTTGGTATTTTTCGCCTCTCTTTTATCATATATATCGACACATTGCCCAAACGCTAGGGTATTGTTGAAACCGTATGTAATTTCAAGAAATATTTGGTTTTCGTGTCATTGGGTTGTTTTTCATTAACGCATTCCTCACATATCCTTTATTTATAAACTGATTTACAATACTGGTCATATTTTGTTGACGATTATTAAGTATACAGTATACCTTTTGATAATAACTTGGATATTGCTTTATTTCTATCATCTAGATTTGGAAAATCTACTGCTCCCGTTATGCCTAAACCTCGTACTCTGCTAATCAAATCTGGATATTGCTCCTGAAATGATGGTTTGTGCGAGTATAAGAACATTATCATGGTTTAAGAAGTAGTATAAGTTTTCCTTATAAATGTATGAACTATTTACAAAATAGAAATAATACATTTTGGAGAATACAATGTTTTAGTTTGATTAAAATCAACCTCATTATAGTGGAACATCTTCCAAAATTCGGAAGTCCGTGTTTAATAAAGAATTAAACAATAATTTCATGTCAGGTGACAAATACTGCTATTGACTGATTTAAAGTACGTCAATTGCATTACGATGACAATGTTCATTCATGTTGTTTATGGCCTCTATCTTGTTTATTCAGTAAGAATGCAAAATATCGTATCTCTCACCAAATTTCACCAATAGTCGTCGATATCTACAACCTAAATTTGATTTTCTTCACTATTTCTATTTAAAAGTCGCTAGAATTAGATGTTTCTGATTTAAATTCGATTTTAATAGGTTTTAGACATTGTTAATATCTTGAGCAGAAAATATCAAGATATATACCAATACACAAGGTAATATAAGTTTGAATGAAATTGAAGAATACCAAAATAATAAATGTTTTAAACTCACCTGAATTCTTTCTACCTCGGGCCACAGATAATTTCCAATTTCTGAAACTCGATTGAGAAGATTTTCCCGCTTTATGACTTTAATTACAGCTTCCAGTAAAACAACCTTTGATGGGTCTCCAACCCATGTGTTAAATATTCTGAAAGCCTTAAAATAAAATGGCGCGAATCTTAGTTCAGGGTCAAATAAAAAAAAATTGTAGTACTGACATTCATCGACTTGGGAAAAAAAATAAAAGTATTAAAATCTTTTTATGATACAAAATAATTATCCTCAAAATCAGGATTGAGGAAATATCTCCAATGCTACAAACGCCAAAAAGAACCTTCACTTGACCGTACTGATTGATATGGTACTTTGATAAAGAGTAAATTAAACGTTAAACACGAATTTCGGTGAGCAAGACACATGATTCTTGAATAGCCTGCATCAAGTACACCGAGACTCCCAAGATTCATAAGTCAAATGTAAAGCGATTACATGTCTGTTAAAAAACAAAAACCTTTTTCTGTCATATAAATAAAAGAAAAATCATTCAGAAATGCCTTAGAAAATAGCTTCAGACAAAATTATGCCGATAATAGGAATTATAAAATTAATGAAATATAGAAGTGCTTTCCTGGCCTCCTGTTTCACTTAAAGTTTGGACACGATGCATTCCTTTCAAATGTTATTTGCTACATTTTGATAAAAATTATCAGAACTACATTGCATCAAAACATAACGGACGTATGTTTTTTTTTTCAAACTAGAAACTGTTTAGAGATTTGCATTTTTTCGTGTTAAAGGTAAGATCCAAAAAGATAAAAAAAAAATGAGTAATGGAAACAACTTTATACAAGAATTGAATGCTTCATTTCGTAATTTCATTAGGGTGTAAAGGCATTGAACGAAATACATGTGCACACGTTCAACCCTTTTAAAACCTTATAAAAATTACAAAAAGAAGCCATTCAATTCTTATATTTACATTTTTCTGCTACATCTATTAAGTTACGAGTTAAATCAAGCATTTCGTTTGTTTTTCTGTGCATTGCTTCAGTGTAGTCACACATAGCACGTGCAGTCATCGATGTTGCATTTTATACGGAAATACATTTAACTTCTTGAATGCCTCACCCATCAAAATTACGAAATCGTGTGAAACTTCTACATAATGTAATTATTACCTCTTGTGGTCTGTATTCAGACCTGTAGAAAAATCCTCCAGTTAACATCTTTTTACTAAATGTAACAATATCAGGTGGTTGTTTAAGATTGAAATGTTCATGAGCCCAGAATAGACCTGTAACACCACAACCGGTTTGTACTTCGTCTAAATTAAAACAGATATCATTCTGAAATAAGACGAAAAATGTAAAGAGGAGCTAGAAGCTAGCTATGTTACATTTTTTCTCTCCAAATTTTACAGCGAATACATAATAATAATAATACTTTATTCCAAAAGCAAGTACATCTTATAGGATATAAACAATGTTTGACAAATTAATTATATAAAAAGTGAGTCAATCAATGACCCCCCTCAAACGAAATCACGAAGAATAGTAGTTAGTACCTATTTCTCTGTATGACGGGTACGATTCCAACGCATTGGTCGTCCGTTTGGATGTGTGCATGCATTAATACCCAGATACACCCTGTCGGAATGGGGACGTTTAATCTAAAATTTCATGAGGAATTGTGAAACAACTCTAAAGGCGGCCTGTTGTAAGAAAAAATTCTGTACATGTCCAACGTAACCACTCCTTTTTTAGGAGAAGGCGAAATTTCGTGTCCTTCATCTCGGTCGATCCACTTTCTTGGGTAAATTGTTAACTTATTCTTGTCCTAGATATGCATCCCATATTTGCTAGTAGACGTTAAGGCAACACCTCTTTTCTATAAAGGAAAACTATTGCATAGTTATTTATTTTTACTTAAATACAGAATATCTGAACATGTGTGGTAAATAATCGGTACTTGCTGGAATCCAATACGATAAAATTGAGAATGGAAATTGGGAACATATTTTACGCAGTTGATTGTATCCGGTAAAATGCTAAAGCAAGTATTAGAATGGGGGCGAAAATAACATAAGCTATTTACGAGTAAAGGTCGAAATAAAGCGTTCACATAAATACATTAGCTACCTTGTGAACCAAGTCCGCTTATCTTGTGTGAATAAGCGCGTTTAAATTTCAATTCAGCATATCGGACTGGCAGGTGTTATCATATGAAAAAAAACTCTGGTGTATAGTTATCTCAGTGGCAATCATATCACATATCCTCATTTTTGTATGTATAATTCTAAATAATCGTGCGATATATGTCGTTTGATCTTTAGAATGCAAACCACAACGTCACAGAAATTACTAGTAAAACATGAAAATAACATTAATACAGAACTCCAAGGAAAATTCAAAACGATAAGTCCCTTAACAAATGGCAAAATCAAAAGCTTAAACACATCAAACAAATGGAAAACAACAGTCATATTCCTGACTTGGTGCAGGCATTTCCTTATGTAGATAATGGTGGATTAAACCTGGTTTTATAACTAGCTAATCCTCTCACTTGTATGACAGTCGCATAACATTCCATTATATTGACAACAATGTGTGAGCAAAACAAACAGACATAATAGGTAAAAATGTCTAAAATTGGGGTACAGCAATCAACATTGTGTTATAATAAACAAACAACTATGTCAATAAAGAAAACCAAAATGGCATGTAGACACTCTATAGACAAAACACATACGCAAAAATGTTAAAATATACAAAGACAAATAAAAAGAACACTGGTATCTTCCGATGAACTTTTTTAGAAAAAGAACGAGACGTTCTTTGACATAACCCTGGTTCATCAACTTTCTGCTCAGACACTGGTGACGTTTTATAAAGCCTGACTAGAGCTGCAAGCTCCTGGATACCGAATGAGTTGGGAAATGTATATCCCATATGCAGGTGAAGTTGGTGAAGTAAACAATTAGTTTATTACTTGAGTATCTTTTTTTTTTCTTCATTTCAAGTAATTGCATTCGCCAAAGTCCGCCAAAACAAATATTCATTACATGCAATCTCGTTCTTTATATTTTAAGATCTCTTGTTTTGTTTTACAAACGGCCCTCTATTGTTCCTGGAAAACAGCTAGGACATACTCTTATCAAAACTTAAAATTATGAAGGAAGAAATACCTTAATACATATATCTTGTAAACCTTGAAAAAATTGTGGTGAGGCAAAGTTATCTCCTCCCTCTCCCTGTATTGGCTCTATAACAATCCCAACAATCGGTTCACTCTTTTTCTTCCACGTTTCAATTAAATCTTCAACCTTAAAATGATATACATAAATTGAATTAGTAAGACACATAAGGTAATTCTAAATTTCTTAATCATTAATTAAATAAAAGGCCATACGTCCGATAAAGCTTTTGCATAAAACGTGCTTGCACATGTAAATTACATCTTTTATTTTTATGAAATTTTGTTAAATACCTAAATCAAATTACTATGAAAACGAAAGAGCGTATGTATCAGTGAAATTTTCAGACATTTTAATGCAAATACGTGTGGATTTGAAAAAAACTTCAGCTGTTTAGCGAAATAAGACTTATGTTATACATAAGTTAGACATTATTCCCCCAGAATAATAAGATTGATTTGTATTTAACGCCACTTTCAGCACTGTTGGCTCTTTTGTGGCGGCCAGTTTTTATTGGTGGAAGAAACCGGAGTGCCCGGAGAGAACCACCGACCACCGGTATGAAAACTGACAATCCCAGTCAATTAAGACTTGAGTCGAATGCACCTGCCAAGTGCGGGACTCGAATTCACAACTTTAGTGTAATACGCATAATAATACGAAACAAATCAGCTAATATATACAACAAAGATTAAACTTAAACTTTCTTATGCACATTAAGCCCATATTTGATTTTATTTCTGTTCATAATTACAAACATTTATAAATAAAATATATATTATAATAATAATCATGACATAAAAAAAAATCTATTCTTTATAGGATAAAACTAATCTAAACCGTGGAGAAAAACATCTTTATTTACTTTTTATTTTTTTGGTATGATGTACCAAAATAAAAACAAAGTTATAAAAAAATTATTGTGTTTAAAGCGAAGATTGTATATTTCCATAACAATAGAGTACAATATACTACCTCTTCAAGGCATCGTTTCTCCTCGGCTTGATTCTCCCTGACGTTGTCCTCTAAAGGATACTTTAACATTGGAAAAGTAGCAATAGGCCATTTAGGTTGTGGTAAATCTAGTTTATGCATCGGTTTAGTATGTGTAAGAGCTAATGCACCTACAAAGTTAGATTAATTGTGTTTTTTCTTAAAATTAAATAAAAAAGAAAGACAACGGCAATTTAGGTGCAATAGAAAAAATGTAGAAAAATGATAACTTCGTTTCAATGTTTCGATACAACTACCATGTAGTTGTCTAAATGCTATACTAAGTAATGAAAAACAAGGCGTAATCTATTTTAAGGCGTTAGACCCAGAAATATGTTTCTTTTAATATGGAAACACCCTATAGCAACGTGTGGTATAAAATGTTACAAATTTACTATAAGAAATAAGCCTTCTTGAATTATCAAACACTGATCCTACATACCCATAGTACGCCCATGAAAAGCATTTTTAAAAGACAATACAGACAAATTAGGGGTGCCTGGAAGTTCATTTGTTTTACACGATTGAAGTTCCTCTTGTGTTGGTGGAGCGCCTCCTCGTTTTCTTCTCTACAATTCAAAAAAAGACGTGCGAAGTAAAAGTAGGTTGCTTACAGAAATGACATTTTTCTAATTTGTCAAGTTATAAAAGTGAAAATTTCAACGTGCGTGTCTCCTTGAAAAAAATATAATATATTACGGAAACTTCACAAGATATAATGTAAAGAAATGAAGACACCATTGGCATTTCGATCAACTGTTAAAAATAATCATTCGTAATTAATATTTTACCTGAAAAGCAATGAACATTGCCTTCTGTGCATGTTCAACTGAGCATGCTCCACATGCCATGGTCTGTACTTCAGAAAGACCAGGCGGTGCAACCTATATAAACAATTGAAGTTCATTAATACTATGCTTACCTTGCTATGTATCAGCAACATTTACATGAAGGTTTTTAGAATGCAAATCCATACAAAATCATATATTACATACTCGAAAACTTTACCTCGTTTTGGATGGTTGAACAATATATTTCATGTGATGACGTTCAGACAATACCCCCCTCGTTATTAGACATTGACGAAAGAATCCATTGCCAGTCGCTGGTATAATAAAAAATCAATGTTTCTTCCATACTTCTAGCAGAAAATGACTTCTCACCTGAAAATCTCTCACACCGTAGCACTTAACATTGTACAGTTCCGGATTAAATATTAAATCAATCGCTATAAATATAGTATATAATAATCCTTGTTAAAAAAGACGGCTATTACGTTACAAAGGTAACGGACAGACGGACACAAAAAAAATCCGTTCTTTATGTTAATATGGAAAAGTAATTCAATGTAACCTATTGGTTGTGTATGCAAACTACTATACAAAACCGACAGTTACATAAACAATGCGTTTTTTTAACAATAATACAGTTCAGTTGATATGAAATATTAGGTCTCAATGTAGTCACCCTGTCATCTATGTACGCTCAATTACTTAAGAAGTTCTTTGTACAAATTGATGTTTACATGTTATAGCTAACTCGTGTTTTCATTTTCATTCTGTTTTTGTTTCATTTCCAACAGTATAAATTTTGACAAATGCTCAATTAATCAATTTTGTTACTTTGTAATTTTTAACCCCTTCTGATACAGTTGGACTCGCACAGTTTTGGTTATTCTTTGTATGCAGTTTTGATTACACAGCTCTTCACATATATCTTACACTTTATAAACATTGGGTTTCGAACGTTCATGAAGAAGGTTAATTCAAAAAATAAATTTGGACGCAGCAAATTTGCTAGGTTTTATTTTGATATTTTCTATTCTTGATTCAAGTTTAATCTTTTCCTTTCTTAACATAATAACTATAGTCTCAGAGAATAGAATAACTATCACATATATAAATTTAGAAATTAACTTTGGTTTCAATTATGACACTTTCAAATTAGTGTTCTGAATAAATACGTACCGCTAACAGTGATGTTTGTAATCTTGTGATCCAATCTCGGGGTGGGTAACATCCTAGTGCTGGTCGGTTTACAAAAGTGGACTGAAAAATAAAAAAGCTTGTGGTGGGTAACATCCTATTGCTGGTCGGTTTACAAAAGTGGACTGAAAAATAAAACATCAAAAACATGCAGCAGAATCCTGAAAAATTTTAAGAACAAAGAGAAAAATATTTTTATTCAAAAAATATTTCTGTAATTTGTAAGTAAGTTATCAATGTCCGCTAAATGAGAGTAAAAAAATCCAACGTTCGACCTTAACCCGTCAATAACATCAAATGTCAAACAGGAAAAGATATATTTTTCGAAGATTACGCCAAAAATCGATGACATTAGATTGAATTCATAGACTTTTACATGATATACGCGAAAGGAAATTGATTGCCATGTGTACATGTTATTAAAAAGAATCTAACACTTTTTCAACAAGAATGTTACAGACAGCGATGAATATAATTGTCTTTCTATTTATTCTAAATCATGTAGAGCCAACTATATTGGAATACAATAACTCTGCTATTTCACAGGAATATTCTATTGATGTTAAAGTCTTCTTTTTCTGTTTCTTTTTTAAATGGTTCTATAAGCAATAATAAAAATTGTTTCTTTGTCAAAGTAATTTACTTAGTATCATGAAATTTCGATGTTTGATAAGCTTTTATAATTCTAAATATATATTATTATTCAAATTTCTATAACTGCACTGTAGTTATTTTTCTTTAAAAACAAAAGTTGGCCTCATAATAGTTATCAAAGGTACCAGGATTATAATTTGATACGCCAGATGCGCGTTACGTCTACATAAGACTCATCAGTGACGCTCAGATCAAAATAGTTAAAAAGCCAAACAAGTATAAAGTTGAAGAGCATTGTTTCAGTTTAGAAATACAGTGTATAACCGCCAATCATATAGATATACACAAAACACAAAAATTCGAGAAATTTCAAGGATACCAAACCTGACTATTAAAAAGCATCCTCAGTTATTTAAAATTATGACTTGCAGCAGTAAACATTGATTTGAATTTGAAGCAAAATATTTTTATTATAAAACATACAAGGTTGAGTATTGTATTTATTTCTGTGAGTCGAACACATCTCTAAGTCCGATACAATGAAAATCAGCGAAACAAAAATAAAAAAAGAAAATTATAAAATGGTACCAAATTGCCAATAAAAAAAACCAGCATGACCAAAAATCACTCTTCTTTCCAAGCGCGTGTCATTTAAATTCTAAAACCCTCATATAAAAAGAGGAAGGTTTTTTAAACATTCACTATCGAAGTTGTACAATCATCATTAAATGATGTGCTTAATAATTGAGAGGCAACAGCAACCTAAATTCGTAAATCCAACAGAATATACAAGTCCATCAGAAACAACTGAGGGAATCGCATGAACTCAATAAGGAGCGAGTCCGTCTGCGTCGACAGGAAAAGGCCCCTCCGGCTAGACATGCAACATCGGCCATGCGAATCCGCCATGCTACACGACTATTCTTTTTTTTAAGATCGACAAGTTGGAACGAATAAAAATAATAATAAGTAATAAAAAGCAGGAAGAGTCTAAATGGTACTGTTTTATAATACAAACATACCAAATTGTCTTCATTCTTCACAGCATCAATCAAACTCTGGTGGTTATAGCCTGAGGAAAAGGAAAATACAAATCGATGTTATAGTTTTCATGCCTTATGATAAAAACCAGTTTAATATGATTTATAGTCAAAAAGGTGAAGAAGATACCAATGTGAAGGCTGACGTCTGATGGGTGTTTTGGACTTGCAAACGGTGGTCAGACGTCAGAGCTATCTCGGACTACTCTTTGTGGAGAATGGTGGCATACCTATTGTAATAGGTGGAACATACTCATTCATAACTACCCTTTTGTGTAAAATGGTACATACCTATGGGAATAGAAGCAATCTGTGTGTACAGATCCAACAAACAATTATCGTCAACGTCAACAAGGTAGTTCCCGTAACTCTTGTCATAGTCAGCAAAGAACTGTACCGCTCCTGTATTCTGTAATGATAATCATTCATAAATATAAATAATAAATAATCCTTGAAACCAATATGGTGAAATCTAGGTCACTTGTATTGCAAGGTTGGTGTCTCTTAAACGACCTTTTTTTTAATTTCTGTTAGCCATTTAGTTAGAACTGATGTTAAAATTGAAAATTAAAAGATATATCCATATTCTAAATATTTTAAGGAAACTTTTTTGCTGCTGAAACAGTGATTTTTTTAATTGTTAATGTCGTGAACGCATGTTTTTTCTTTTATTTCTCTATTCAAAAGGTTGACAAGGGTGTAGAAATATGGTCTTCCTTTGGGCATCACTCGTTCAGCAGTAAAACTATTGATAACGGGCGTCCGTTCGGCTGTCAGGGATGTATCTATACGCATCTACTATATATAAAAAAAGAAGATGTGGTATGATTGCCAATGAGACAACTCTCCACAAGAGACCAAATGACACAGAAATTAACAACTATAGGTCACCGTACGGCCTTCAACAATGAGCAAAGCCCAGACCGCACAGTCAGCTATAAAAGGCCCCGAAATGACAATGTAAAACAATTCAAACAAGAAAACTAACGGCCTAATTTATGTACAAATTATGAACGAAAAACAAATATGTAACACATAAACAAACGACAACCACTGAATTACAGGCTCCTGACTTGGGACAGGCACATACATACAGAATGTGGCGGGGTTAACATGTTAGCGGGACCCCAACACTCCCCCTAACCTGGGAAAGTGGTGTAACAGTACAACTAAGAACGAACTATAAAAATCAGTTGAAAAAGGCTTAACTCATCAGATGGAGAAAAATACAAATAATACAAATACAAATAATACGTCCGCTCAGAATAAAGACGTTGATTCCGATACCTCTTTTGCAGAGAGTGCCACATTCTGTGTGTGCACGTTAAAGAGCCCTTGCAAGAACACTAATGGGTCCGTAGATCGCCTGATAGAGGCATAATTTCAGCCCAAATCCAATATACTCTAATTGTCATTGTCAAGGGACTTTTCGTTTTGAATTTTCCTTGGAGTTCGATATTTTTGTTGTTTTACTTTTTTTCAGTGGCAGTAGAAATTCATAGTAGTGCATCAAGATAGAACTACTTTACAGAACCTATCTATCTTATTGATTGTTAAACTTTCATGAAAATACATGAGATATTTGCCATTGGACGTTAAGCAAACGGAAATCATCTAACCTCAAAGTCTCCTTACACCTTACACCCTACACGTAATCTACAAAAAAAAAATTTTAAACATTGCTCCTCAAATGAAAAAGGGTATTAATTGTTTGTCTTGATCGTCCTTGTGAATTCCTTTGTGATGACATTGATCACATTAACCAATTTAGTAACACTTTCTTCGTTCTCTCAGGCTCGTATCGATAATTCCAAATACCCTAAATAATATTGGATGTATGTTTACTTTGTCATTTGTTTACATTTTATGTTACTAGCATCTAAAAAATTGATTCTCGAATAATCTGATATTGTCTTCTTGGTTATTGAAAGCAACGGACAGGATTATTTCCTTATCGGATAGGTTAGTTTCCCTGTATAAGATCCTAATGCCATATTTTACACAATCTAATTAAAAATAGACCTCGATCCGTTCTTGCTATTATGTTTCGTCGCAGAAAGCCCACACAGTGACTTAGCATAGAAAGTGAGCAAGTGCGGATATCTAAGTTTTAATTAAATTGTATTTTACAAGAGATTGTAAAACATGATGATGCAGTGTAAATATTTATCTCATTCATGAGGTTTTAAAACAAAACTTGATTAGAAACAAAATTTTAAAAAAGTAGTAGTATATTTACACGAGGTTTTAAAAGTTGAAAATGTTATTCGAGGCACCAAAACCCGGTTAAGGAGAAAACACATGTATCCCAAACTGATGCAGAATATTTCAACGACGCTAACACACCATATTTTGAAGAAATATAACACCTTGAACAAACCTGAATACGATCCAATTCTTTTAACAGTTGTCGAGACTTTGGTCCAGGAATTTCTGTTCGAACGTTAGGAGACGATGGCTCAGTTGTTGCAATTTTTTGTGAACAATAAGCTGGTCTATGAAAAGCTGAAAAAAGTTTGTAGATGGTACAATACAACATGTGTATACATACTGTTAGTATATATTTGATATAGTTCATATGTACATAGTTAACTATTCAATGAATCATGTTCACTGTCAAGAAAAAGTGCAGTGAAATGATTATCTGGTCATAGGGTCTCTGGTACACTGTTAATATTAAGACTGTGTACTTTTTGCTTTTTAGTTGTATGTAAGCGCTTCGGACGAACGAGATGTATATGTTATTCTCGTTTTGAAATGAAGCTACTGTATATTTATTATTAATTAGGGGTTGTCTCACACGGCTCATCGTATTTTTCCTACATTCAATCAGGGTTATGATAATGTCACCAAAATTACACAAATTGTACATGTACATGTATCTAAATGACCTTAATCTTGAGAGTTGCTTGCGACAGAAATCAATTTCATTAATGTTTTGAACAAAGATTATTTTACGCTTTAATTAATAAAATTACATTTTCACGATTGACGAAAAAGACTGTGATTTTGTTTACGGTACCATGTTTACACACATGTCATTTATTTCTTTCTCTACAATTCGACATCAACAACAAATCAATAAACAGATGAAAATAAAAGAAAAATATCACTCACCTTGTGAACTTCTGAGTGGATTAAACCTAATGAAAGAAAGGCAATTTTTAGTATAGCAATGCATCTCGTAAAATGGGTTAAGCTTATGTGTACACATCCATGTTTGTTTCTGTTGAACAAGTATCTTATTATCAGGTCATTTACACGAATAGATAGATTACATTTAAGTCCCGCAGAACTTAAATAACTTATATTGATTGATTTGCTGTTTGCTTAACGTCCAGTGGTAAATATGTCATGTATGTTCATTAATAATAAATACAATATGAAGGTCCTTTTATAGAGGCCGGCCGTCCAGGTTGAAGGCCGAGGAAATTTGGGCTGCCACTGGAAAATAAAGGTATACTTGATATGGACAGAAATGTTTCCTTGCAACAAGCTACATAGGGCCCATCAAAGATCTAGTTGTTGCAAGGGTTTTTAACGTATAGAGAGCGCGGCACTCTCTTTTCACATGGCATCGGATTTATCGTCCCCATTCTGACCGGACGTGACTGCGTACTTATATATCCCTACGCACAACTAAACGGACGCCTGACTTGGCAAGGGTGTTATTGCCGGTCAGATGGAGGCCAAAGTGAACATATTTCTATCCCCCATTCACCCTTAGGGTGAAAATAACTTTTTTTTATATAAAAATCTACCAAAAATATTGAATTTCGTTTTTTGTTGTTGTTGTTTTTATGGTTCAAGGTAAACTTCTAGATAATATGTATGCTCATTCCATTCCAGGTATCTATTTATCGAGTGCGGTAGGAAGTGGGTTTGATCCCCTTTCATGTCAAATAAAAGACTTGAAAATTGTGCATTATAAATTAGCATTTTGCTGCTTCTAAGCTAAGCACGCGGCATTTACAAATGATTGATGAGTAAGAGCAAAAACTGGTCGGCTCGGGGTCACAAAAATGTGCTCGGGTTCCTTATGAAAATAATGCTAAAACTCTGACAAACTTGTCAGTCGAGTACAGAGGAGGGTTAACGGTCATATCACATTTAGCCTATTATTGGCCTAAATGCATGTAATATTTGCCATTGGATGTTAAAATCATCACCATCATCATCTGAACTCTAATTTATTTAAAAATGCCGCTGCTTTCTATCATTTCTTTAATTTTAAGATGAAAAATGCGATTTGTTTTCCTTCAAGTAGTAATCACACAACATATTTGGCATGTGTTGCTTTTCCGAAAGCTTTGGGAACGGACAAACCAAACGACTACAAAATATTCGATTTTGCAGCATGATTTCCATGTTCGTTGATGGTAAGTATCACGTAGTTGGATAATTTGCACTATAAAAAATGGAGATGTGCCACCATTTTGTGGTATTGAAACAACGATCCAACAGAGTCCAAACGAAGCGGATTTAAAAATTATAGGTCACCGCATGGTTTTCAAGAATGTGAAAACCCCATACTTTATACTCAGGTGTAAAAGGCGCCGACGTAACAAAATGTGAAACAATTCAAACGAAAAAAACAACAGCCTGTCAGTAATTTATGACAAAACAATTAACGAAAAACATATTTGACAGACAGCAACCCATGACAACCACTGAATAACAGACGACTGACTTTAGACAGGCACCTAGAGAATGTGGCGAGTTTAAACATGTCTGTGAGCTCGCAACCCTCCCCTAACCTGGACAGCAGTGATTTAGCACAATAGAACAAACTATGAAAATCAGTTGCAAACGGCATTACTCATTTTATCGACACGATACAGTACATATGAAATAGAAGATGTGGTATAATTATTAATGAGACAACTCTTAACAACAGACCACATGACATAGAAGTTAACAACTATAGGTCACCGTACAGTCTTCATATATGTTTAAATATGTTTCAATTTATCAAATACAAAATCATTATTAGAACCGATATATATTTGAATACATGTAACGACCAATCGAAGTAAATTATATAATATAATTATTGAAAATAGAGAAAAAAAAATAGTATACCAGTAGTTAAAAAAAATAACACTTGATGAATTTGATGCGGCCGAAACACTTTCCTGGATTAACATCGGGAACGCTCAAAACTCAAAAAATTGAAAGTCAAAGATGTACACATATTTGAATACTTCAGATGCTATACATGAATAAACGGTCCTAAAAAGAATAGCCACATACACCTTAGGACCAACTTATCATATTGTATTCAAATGAATGATAGAGTTAATGAAACATTACTGTAATATTTTATTAGTCCACAACTAACTTGTAAAGTGTATAATTATTATGAACCAGGTCAAAAAAATAATAAGCATGACTGGCAATGGTCAACTGAATCGTTTGTATATATGGTTTTAATTTAGTTTAAATCAATTCCCTATCATTGTGATACTGGGCGATTAAATATAAACTTGAATTGCATTTTAATACATATTTACAACAAACATGTGACTATTTCTTTATTTTGATTTATGTTAAAAAGAATGTTCCAAATACAAAATCTTTTAGTCTTGCCGCGAATTATATGGACACATGATGTCTGCATTATACGTCTGTTGGTGTAGTTCAAATATATTGTACATACCATTATTATTTTTTTTTTATGAAATATTTTTAAGGTTAAACGATCCTACGTGTATTTAACAACGTGAACAATATCCGACATATGTTCCTATTTTCCGGTTTTCCTTCTGTTTTGAAAAATGATTGATAATAACTAATCGCCAAACACTTGACTATATCCGATCAACTTGGCTTGACAGATTTTCACTAAATATTTTACTTGCAAATAGGATGTGTAACGTCTAGTTGGGGTAAACATGGATAGGCTGTTTTCTGTTTTGGTTGTAACGGGTCTTTTATTATACTGCGTAGAAGAGGGCGTCAGCGGTAAGCTTTTCGATTTTGCATGACCTTAAACGAATTTAAGTTAACATTTTACCAAAAAAAAACATAATTGTGCAGTTTTTGAATGAAAATCTTAATTGCTCTTATGCCTATTTACATCTCTGCAGTAGGCCCGTCTTAAATGAATTGTCTTCGACCATGGACAACAATCTAAACGCAACTTATTTCGAAGTCTACAAATAAACTAAAAACCTTTTCATAAGAATGTATATCGAATGTTATTTTGAATTTTCCAGTATGCAGCCAACAAATAAACTCATCATTAGGAACAATTCAGCCACCTAAAGATCGAAGGAATATAAATTGTACATATGTGATAAATTCCCCTTCAGGAGATCCAGTCATATTAAGGTTTCTTAACATCAACATTCAAAAAACACCAGGATGTGTAAAGGATTATATAGAGGTAAAATATCTTCAGTTTGTCTTTTTGTAAGAGTGACTATTTATTAGGAAGATATTATGTAAAAACAAACATGTTACAAGGAAAACTATACTACGCACGGGATACAACTATGATTATAATGCGTCATTGTGAAAGAAGAATGATAAGCAGTTGCACGCCTCTGTTTTAACCATGAATCATATAACATAATTTGCAATAGATTTAAAGAGGCTCCCTGACAGATTTGCACACTTTTGCAAGCATATAAAATTTAATAGGACTCGGTGACTTCAGACAAATCTCTTCGCGATCTTAACGATACTTTTTAAGGATAAGGGAGAAAATTGTATATCAAGATATTTCCAAGATCGTTCTCTTTCCCATCATTTCGCATAAAGCGTGATGTGAGTGCCACGCTATATGTACGTTAAAGAACCCTTGCAAACACTCTCCGATGACAATTCAAATTTCCCGCCCTACATCCCCGTCGACCTATCTCGCTGACGCTACTTATTGTATTAATTGTTAATCCAGCCATTTATAAAAGGGGGGTTCCAACCCAGGATAAAGGGAGGGGGTCCAACAATATGTCCCCATTCAAAAGCATTGATCGTCAAACAAAAGGGGGTTCCAACCCCCGGAAACCCCCTCCTGGATCCGCCACTGTAATTTGTTCTTGTATATATTTGAATAAGAAGATAAAGGTTATTAAAAACAAAGTTTGTTCAATATAACATTTTTTTTTAATCCGGAGATCCATATAAATAGCACTAAAATTTTACTGCAATATGATAGACGATTGGATGATGTCTGCCGTCTATTTCACGGTTGGAATCATTTTTCTTTTCTTTTTTTTTTTTTACATTTTACTACTTTTGCATTTGAATAGATATTTGAAGTACTGCCATCGTCCGTTATTCGTTAATAAGATTGATGTGACCTTACTAACAGTACATATTTTAAAAGCTTATTGATATATTAACAACAGTATGGACATTTCGCTAGCATTCTCTAATAAATTAATAATGTTTAAATTGTCCAGTTAACACATGAGGGTATGGATGGGGGTCCTTTATTTTTGTATTCTTTAATTTTTTTTACGCTATTTTTCTCTATTCTTTATACTTTTTGCCCATTATTCTCTATTCTTTATATTTTAGCACCTCATTATTCTCTATTCTTTATTTTTTTTTGGATCCATTTTTCCCTATTCTTTATAATTTTGCACATTATTCTCTATTCTGTGAAACCCCATCCACACCCTCACACATGACGTCTTCATCAACGTCGAATATAAGGTTTATAGTTGGTCGTGACTTCAAACAATTCATGATTATTTCAACGTCGTTCAACGTCTTCTTTTGATATTTTAAAATGGTAGATTTTTAAAAACGACGACGACGAATAGACGAAAACAATTGAAGAATTTAATTTTCTTATACTTTTCTAACGCATGCATAACGATCATAATTCAAACACAAAAAAATCCAATCAAACTTTCCTACCCCAACTCCTAATTTCCTCTTCTACTACCCCCCCCCCCCCCCCACCTTTTTTTTTTACCCCCACTTCCCTCCCCCTTACTCCGGATCCCTGAAGAAAATCGGTAAAAAAAATATTTCCAGCATATCCCTATTTTCACTCCACCTCTTCCCCTGACTCCCGCATTCCGCCACCTCATTCCCATGTTCCCATACCCCTGTCCACCCCTCGTATCTAGGTGAACTAACATTGGACTAAAAACGTAACAAATAGGTTACGAACGAAAACACAACACTGTGTACGTTTATCCAAATAAAAGTGGGTTGGACCATACAATTTTGTAAACATAATTACAAGCCAGTACAAGTAGAACGCAAGTTTAATCAAACTACAGAATGAGCAACTTTAACCTCACTGCAATCTGTCTACAAACTAAATAAACAAAACGTGTCGGGCAACCCACGAATATTAAGTGAGGAAAAAAGAACTTATTGAAACTACAACAAACGTCACGAAACAGTATTTGCTGGAAAAAAATAGTATTCATCGAATCCTTCAAAAGTCATTATTACTTAATTTTTAATGCAAATACTAGTATTGAAAAATGACATAACAATCCTCTTCACACGTGTGTCTTCTAGTATATCAGGAATATTATCCTAGCCATTCGCTTGACCTTTATCTATGTTACTCATTTGACCTGTATTTATGTAATTTATTTGGCCTGTGTCTATGTTATGAATTATTTACTTTTCTTTAAGGTTAAAGATGATACAGAAGACACATATAAGCCAGTAAGAATTTGTGGAAATTCTATCCCAAGACCTATTTTTGCAGTCTCAGGAGTTTTGACACTTACATTAGTATCCAAAGCGCCTGTCGACTCTAACACATTTAAGGCAGAGTTTTACAGTAAGTACAAATATCAGAAGAATTTATAATGATCAACGTAGTACAACAATATGGAAAGTCTACTAATCATTTCTAGATGATGGAATGCGAATTCCTTTAACAAATAGGAACCGTATTAAACATGCAGTGAGGTGAGAGATTTTGCTCCGTGTTGAAGGCCTCATTGTGACTTTGAGATGAGGAACAGCAATACAAGCGCTGTTATTTTGCTTTTTGTGGTTTTTTGCTGTGCATGTACCGATTTTGTGTCATGGATGGATATCCCATCTCCTTTCTGTTCTATTATATGCTCAGTTGGTTAAGTCACGGGGATCTTCATACAAGAACGCATGACAACTGAATAGGTAACTTTTACTTTCCTTTTGTGAATATTCCGCTTATTGGTTGGTTAATATTACTTTGCTTGTTTTTATAGAGTATAAATTTCTGATCTGGTAAGATATGATCGGGATATAAGGTTCCAATGAACTTTCTCTGGATTTATCTCAAACTAGAGGCCCTAAAGAGTCTGTGTCGCTCACCTTGGTTTATTTGCATATTCAACAAAGGACACTCTCCAACATTGTAGACGAGAATATAATTAATGACAAAAATCTGTTTTGTTGATCTTGTATTGCTGATCATTTAGTCTGTTTAGTTTCTCTCTATCTTCTTCAGTTTTTTGCTCAGAACACAAAACAGGGTAAAAAGAAAATCCTCATTTAAGGACAATCACTCCTTTAAAGAGTGACAGTCTACTAACTATATTGGAAAAATTTTACTTGTTAATAGATCTTGCCTTGCTGATCATTTTTGTGATTTAAAGGGTCTATCTATCTATTAAAATTTTTATCATATCCTATCAGACAAAATGCTAAAAAAATGGTAAAAATTGTCATTAGACGGCAATAACTCCAATAAGGAGTCGTCAGACGATTTCCTCCATATTTTCTTAATTGTAGATCTTGTCTTGTTGATCATTTTTGCTTATTTAAGTTTCTATCTATTTATTATAATTTTTAAGATAAAAGGCAAAAACGCAAAAAATTGGTAAAAATCATCATCAATGGGCAATAACTCTGTAAGGAATCGACTGACGATTTCGACCATGACTCTTATCTGTATATCTTGTCTTGCTGATCATTTTTGAAATTTTAAGTTTCTCTCTATCTATTTTAGTTTTCAAGAAGGCAAAAATGAAAAAAAATGGTAAAATTTGTCATTTAAGGGCAATAACTCCTATAAGAAGTCGTCTGACAGTTTTGAACAATTGGTAGACTAGAGCTCAACATTATGAACATTTTTGCCCTTGTCAGATTTTCTCTATATATAACGGTTTTCAAAATAATAGACAAAACTTGCATTTAACCCTATGTTCTATTTTTAGCCATGTCGGCCAACTTTGGACACAATTTTTAAATTAGATACCCAAATAATGATTGTGGCCAAGTTTTGTTAAATTTGGCCCAGTAGTTTCAGAGAAGATTTTTGTAAAAGTTAACAGACGACGGACGACGGACGCCAAGTGATGAGAAAAGCTCACTTGGGCCTTCGGTCCCGGTGAGCTAGTAAAAAGGTTTATTGTAGAACTATGATTCATCTTACACAGTAAGAGTTGTATTCTTTTTAATATAAAAAGCATAAGACTTTAAAGCTTGACGATCTCTAATTCCATTACGAACTCTTGATATAGTGTATTGATGCCGACTGCACCCTTTGTTATTCGATTATTTTATCAATTGATACAATGTGTATTTTCTTGTATTTTGTAAGTGGCGTTGGTTGAAATTGTTTGTATTATTTCTGGTTTATTTTGCCGAAGTTATACATAACTTACCTAGTGGAAGTTGTTACTTACTTAAAACGTTGAAGATGTCTTAAATTTACCATAATCTCGTTACTATTTTAATCTGTCGTCGTTCTGAAATTCCATGTTAAAGTTCTTTTTCACAGTTTATATTATTTTCAATAACCACGTTGATCTTATATATGTAGGCTGTTCGGATTGTATAAAGAGGATCAACAGTACAGATCAACAATTAGATTATGTCTCTGATCCCAACAGAGACCCGTCAATCACAGATTTTGTTTATCTTATTGAAAATGATCGTCCAGTTATACTGAAGTTCACATCTATTAACTTGGACGAAAGTAAAGGATGTACATTTGAATATGTTCAGGTATGTGTAAAGTTCATAATTTTACAATTATCTAACTTAATCCAAAATATTATCAAACAAAACCAAAAAGCTTTCATTGACTATAAATATACTGGTACAAATAGCTTTGTTAATTTCGATTGAAGCGGATATCTATATGATATCTAATTTCTAACCTGATATTTTTCAAGTTCCAAGAAGAAAAGGTGTATCGCTTGTGTCATACATATGTAATAATCCGTTTTTGGATACATGGATAAAATTCTTCATCCCGGTAACCCGGATGAAAGGTACCAAATAGACTTTGACAAAAAGAAATTGCGAACTAACAACATTTTCCAAACATCCTAAAAAACAAACTAAGACATGAATAACTATCAAACAGAATTGAAGATAAAGCCATCAAGAGTAATTCCAAGTAACGGCCAGCATATTCTGACACACAAACCAAGAGTAATTCCACGGCCAGCATATTCTGACACACAAACCAGGAGTAATTCCACGTAACGGCCAGCATATTCTGACACACAAATCAAGAGTAATTCCACGTAACGGCAAGCATATTCTGACACACAAATCAAGAGTAATTCCACGTAACGGCCAGCTTATTCTAACACACAAATCAAGAGTAATTCCACGTAACGGCCAGCATATTCTAACACACAAATCAAGAGTAATTCCACGTAACGGCCAGCATATTCTGACACATAAATCAAGAGTAATTCCACGTAACGGCCAGCTTATTCTGACACACTAATCAAGAGTAATTCCACGGCCAGCATATTCTGACACACAAACCAGGAGTAATTCCACGTAACGGCCAGCATATTCTGACACACAAATCAAGAGTAATTCTACGTAACGGCCAGCATATTCTAACACACAAATCAAGAGTAATTACACGTAACGGCCAGCATATTCTGACATACAAATCAAGAGTAATTCCACATAACGGCCAACATATTCTGACACACAAATCAAGAGTTATTCCACGTAACGGCCAGCATATTCTGACACACAAATCAAGAGTAATTCCACGTAACGGCCAGCATATTCTGACACACAAATCAAGAGTAATTCCACGTAACGGCCAGCATATTCTGACACACAAATCAAGAGTAATTCCACGTAACGGCCAGCATATTCTGACACATAAATCAAGAGTAATTCCACGTAACGGCATGCTTATTCTGACACACTATTTAAGAGTAATTCTACGTAACGACCAGCATATTCTGCCACATAAACACTGAATTTATCGTGGACCTTAAGTTTTAACTTCCGTTTGCCTTCTTATTAGTTGATAAATCTTTCGCTTTAACATTTTTTTTTTCTATCTCTTTTTGAAACAGATCAAACAAGGAACTAGTTATAACTCTCCGGAAGTAGGCACATACTGTGGGCAAGACATACCAAAACCTATTGTTCTAACTCCAGGACAATTTTCTGTCGTATATCACACAGAAGAACCTTACGGAAATCATGGATTTACTGCTTATTTCTACGAAGGTATTATATTGTTTTACTGTTACTGTAATAAGTTAACACCTATTGCAATTTCATTTGCAGATTTAGTTTTAGTCTATTTTGAAATAATGCTCTTGTCCTCTAAAAAATACTGAAGGTTGAAGTCTCAATAATGTAAAGGTTGTCAAGTCCGCGGACAATTCAGAATGTGAAATATGGTATACACTTGTCTTTTATTAAAGATATTTGTTTCTCTCTAGATGTTCCTTGGCTAATTGTGTTTAATGGTAGCTTTCTGAATGAACAGGCGTATATCCAAAATGTCTTTTAAATCAGTGTAAGAGTATATTGTTGTCAATTTTGTGTTTTCTTTTTAAATTTAAAATAGAATTAAAACAAATACCGAGATTTATTCATCTGAAAATCATCACTACATGTTATTTATCTAGAGAATAGTACGCAATCCTTACCAATTCCTAGTCAAGTTCTGGAAGGAAAGGGAAAATATGTCGAAGAAACAACATCAAGGACAGGTATGTGAACTATAACACTAAAAACGTATGCTACCAATGCTACAGTAAAAAACGTATGATACCGATGTTACAGTAAAAAACGTATGATGCCGATTTTACAGTAAAAAAACGTATGATACCGATGTCACAGTAAAAAACGTATGAAAACGGTATCACAGTAAAATAACATAACGTGCCGATGTTACAGTTAAACATGTATGATGCCGATGTAACAGTAAAAAACGTATGATGCAGATGTAACAGTAAAAAACGTATGATACCGATGTAACAGTAAAAAACGTATGATACCGATGTAACAGTAAAAAACGTATGATGCCGATGTTACAGTAAAAAATGTTTGATACCGATGTTACAGTAAAAAAAAATGTATGATACCGATGCTACACTAAAAAACATATGATACCGATGGTACATGCAGTAAAAAAAACGTATGAATCCGATGTCACAGTAAAAAAACGTATGATATTGATGTTAAAGTAAAAAAAAACGTATGATACCGATGTTACAGTTAAAAACGTTTGATACCAAAAACGTATGATACCGATGTAACAGTAAAAAACCTATGATACCGATGTTACAGTAAAAAACCTATGATACCGATGTTACAGTAAAAAAAGATATGATACCGATGTTACAGTAAAAAAACATATGATACCGATGTTACAGTAAAAAAACGTATGATACCGATGTTACAGTAAAAAAACATATGATACCGATGTTACAGTTAAAATACGTACGATACCGATGTTACAGTTAAAATACGTATGATACCGATGTTACACGAGTTTCCAGAATAACCTTTTCGTTTGAATTGTTTTACATTTAGTCTTTTGTGGCTTTTTAATAGCTTGCTGTGCGGTATAGGTTTTGCTCATTGTTGAAGGTTTATATATGTTCACATTCATTCTATTGTCGTTAGAAATCTGAGCACGTGAGTTAATGTGTTATATTCTTTTTCAGCTATCTATGTGATAAGTACAGTTGGATTTTGTATTGCAACTGTCTTTGTAGTCAACGGATTAATCATTTGGAAAAGGTATTTACTGTTATTGCAAATATCAACCAATACGCTAAATTCACATTTATATAACAAACATACAAAAAGTATGAGCATATTTTGTTTGCTTCAATGTTAAAATGTATCTTTGTTTATGTGTTATTTGAAATTTAAGGACCTATCTTTGTTCAAAACATGTTTTAATCTAATTTCAGTAAACACATACAATATCTAATTAATAAACAACTTATTACCGTGTTTTTTTGTTCTCGTGCAACACTTTTAATGTAACACTTATAGGACGTTTTTCTATTCAATAGAAGAAGCAGGCAAAAGAAAAATAAAGTAGAAACTGGTCTTGACAAGTATGCCACATTACAGAAGAAAGAACAAAATCCACCAGACGATTATCAGAACGAAAATATAAACATAATTTACAACCCAAACTATGTCGTAGCAGGCAGTCCGGATCCTTGCGTTATAACAAAAATTGAAAACGTTGACAGTTCTACCCCTAGTATCCTTGACGACGACAGTATATCACCCGCTGATCTTCAAACTGTTAAGAATAGTGGGGATGCCGACATAGACTACGCTTTAGAAGAAGGCTCGTACTATGTTTTAAATATCTCATCCAAAAATAAAGCTTTAACATCTGGCAAAATGGGTGACAAAAACGAGCGCAAAACATCACGTGAATATGCAGACGTTGGATTTGAGGATGATTCTCGTTTGCATTCCACGGATACATCTGATAAAATATTTGAAGGAGTTACATTGAAGATAAGTGATGTTCATCACAACCTATAAGATAAAACAATAAATACAAACTCTTCTCATGTATATTTTGTGTGCTTACGCTTCAAAGCTATTGAAAATCTTGGTATTGTGAGTTTCCTTCAGAAGTAATTAAACAATGTCTTTTTGATACTTCTTTAAACAAGGGTCATAAAATACAAAATAAGCAGACAGTGAACAAATGTTTGCTAAGATAATTTCTTGATCAGACAAAAAAATGGAGTCTGTCATGTCTTGAGCCTGGAATAGAAACATCATATCATCATAGTGATAGTGCTGTCTATGGCTCATAGTCTGATGTCATAGTGCTTTAAGTTGGATCACTTTCTGCAAGGTCTGTTAGAGTCTTAATTATAATCCATGATATTTTGTGGAAATACATTCATTGGAATGACTGGTAGAGAAGCAGAATTTGTACTATTTAATTTCTATTAAATATTCAGCAATGCAGAAATACAATCATGGATGCGCAAGAACACTAACCAAAGAATTTGTAAAGTTTTCATAAAAAAAACTTTTCAGCGGTTTGAAAAAAAGTTGAATAGACAAATATCATTGTACAGCGAGACCCTAGATTTGTCCGGGTTTTGGATTAACTTTTGGTCTTCTTCAAAGTGTATATTAAGTTTTTGAATTTCTAATATGACATTAGTTGTGGAAATGGGCACCTGGTGTAGTATATTGATACCGTTGAGGTAATTACAACAAGAAAAGGGGTAAAAACTGTTTCACGATACAGGGTCTTAACTTGACTTTTAATACTTTAATTCAGTCTGATGCAGAAACAAATTGTAGAATGCACAACTTCAATACATATAGAAAAAAAAGTCATATAGTTATACTGAAATCCATTCTCGCGATTGTGTCGATTGAAAATTGTATATAACGGACAAACGAATAATGTTTAACCAAAGATTATATTTTTAAATAGTTCTTTAAACAATATGCATTGGTTTTCATCGTGTCGAGGTGAATTTCTCTGATGATGGACAAACACATTTAGAAGGAAACGCATTGGGGAAGGATAAACATATCCTGCTACGAATGTTGCTACCTTTATATTGGTCGGAAAGAAGTCATCAAAAAGCAAATAATATGTGATGTCCGATAAGTACGGATATCATTAGAGAAATATTGATACAATCATTTAAGTAAAGTTAGTCTTTTAGGTTAAGTATTAAATGGTTTATAGCATTTTTAACCGATCTCTACTGATGACCCCAACTATCATGAATATAAATTTTGCTCTGACTTAGAAGTTAATGGACCAGTTAAGTATAAGTCAATCTAATTGACAATAAACTCGTCAAAGATACTACTAGTAGGCTTAAAATTTTGTACACCAGATGCACGTTTCGTCTAGAAAAGACTCATCAGTGACGCTCGAATCAAAAAGTTAAAAAGGCCAAATAAAGTAAGAAGTTGAAAAGCAACTAAAAAGTGAAAATAGAAGTATTTGAAACGCAAATTCCGTGCACAAGACGCGTAACTATATTACTATTCATCAAAGTCATATTAATAATAATACCAGTCTCTTAAATCGGTGTGATTTCTAATACAAAATTGCGATTTTTCTTTCCTAAAACACATATTTTCTGTCATTCTGTGTATTTTGAATCACATTTCTTTTTAATCTTTTGATACATTCTTTGTAAATGGCAATCATAAATAAATGTATTATTTCCTTAAAAGGTAGGGCGAAAATGCCATGTTTTTGTTTCCCTCACAAAGTCAAAATCAGAATGTTGTTGAAATCTATTAAAGATATGAATAAACTGAAGAGCAGACGAATACGTCAACAGGACGGCAAACACAGAACAAAAGTAACCAAAAGAAATGTAGAGAGCAAAATACAGTCTTTCACAGTAGACAGGTGTCTATTTAGAGTATAGATATAATATGCTTTACATATTTTTCAACAATTTAACATCTCTTTATACAAATTAAGCAATATATCAAATTATACGAAGGTTTGGACTGGAGAATGAGGACTGTCATTTGAACAAGGGTGTTACATAGGGGTCGGAATTCAACTCTGCAACATTCCATCTACAAACTTGTAGTTTTATTTTATTTGTACTTCTGTGAGCCAATCTTATTTGATAATTATATGTGCTAATATTTGTATGCTTATGTGTACTTTCTTTGATGGAACTTAGCTTAATGTGATGTGTTGTATATATTTTATAGTGTGTTGTAAGTTTTCTTAAGCTCATGTTTCATTTGTTAATTGAACATGCATGTGCCGACACTTTACAATACCGCGTCTTTTTCATACATGGACACTTTCAAACCGTTAGTTGTACATATGTGACAACTCTAAATAAAGTTTACTTACTTGCTTACTTACATAGTTCTTTAACTTGTCGAGAGAGTAAACACTCTTCAAATACGTGGCATCGGAATAATTCACCATCATATGTTGGTGTTTGAACAATAAGGGAGCTACCATTTTATTTTTATGGGGGGAGGGGGGTTTATTCTGACTTTTTTTTTTTTTTGCCAATTTGCTCATCCTGCTTTTTTTTCTCAAAACTCCTGTCCTGCTTTTTTTTCAAATTTCATCGTAGCCCCCCCCCCCCCCCCCCCCCCCTAAAAATCAAATGGTAGCTCCCTAATCTCCAAATCTAAGAATTATTGTAATCACATTAACGGTACCCATTTTTCTGCACCAGATGCGCATTTCGACAATAAATGAAAATCCAAAGGTTATTAAAAACAAGAGTGCACACGCTAAAATGTCTAGCCTGTTTCCTTGCTATTTATTTCATGTAGAAAGTCTTAAAGATAAAGGTTTTACTACAAGTATCACAAAAACTTAACATTTTTAAATATCAATGGCAATGCAGTCAAGGTCAGATAATCCTGTCAGACAGACAGACAGACAGTACAGTACACCTTACAATTATTATTCAATATACCAAATATAGTTGACATATTGTTTATGGTAATTGAAAAACAGACCAAAACACAAAAACTTAACATTGACCAATGAACCATGAAAATGATGTCAAGGTCAGATGAAACCTACCAGACAGACGTGTACACCTTACAATAATTCCCTACACCAAATATAGTTGACCTACTGCTTATAGTATTTGAAAAAGACCAAAAACACAAAAATTTAACATTGACCAATGAACCATGAAAATGAGGTCAAGGTTTGATTATACCTGCCAGACAGACATGTACACCTTACAATCATTCCCTACACCAAATATAGTTGACCTACTGCATATAGTATTTGAAAAAAGACCAAAACACAAAAACATAACATTGGCCAATGAACGATGAAAATGAGGTCAAGGTCAGATGAAACCTGCCGGACAGACATGTACACCTTCCATTCATTCCATACACCAAGTATAATTGACCTACTGCGTATAGCATTTGAAAAACAGACCAAAACACAAAAACTTAACATTGACCAATGAACCATGAAAATGAGGTCAAGGTCAGATGAAACCTGCCAGACTGACATGTACCCATTACAATCATTCCATACACCTAATAAAGTTGACCTACTGCTTATAGTATTTGAAAAACTGACCAAATCACAAAAAACATAACATTGACCAATGGACGATGAAAATGAGGTTAAGGTCAGATGAAATCTGCCGGACAAACATGTACACCTTACAAGAATTCCCTACACCAAATTAGTTGACCTACTGCTTATAGTATTTGGAAAAAAAAACCCACAAAAACACAAAAACTTAACTTTGACCAATGAACCATGAAAATGAGGTCAAGGTCAGATGAAACCTGCCAGACTGACATGTACCCATTGCAATTATTCCATACAACACATATAGTTGACCTACTGCTTATAGTATTTGAGAAAAGAACCTTATCACGTAACTTTAACCTTGATCACTGATCCATGAAATTAGGTCGAGGTCAGGTGAACCCTGTCTGGCTGACATGTAGACGTTGCAAGGAACCCATATACGAAATATAGTTATCCTATTACTCATAATAAGTGAGAAATTCACATGACAAAAACACTATAATTTTTTTTTCAAGCAGTCGCTGAACCATGAAAATGAGGTCAAGGACAATGGACATATGACAGACGAAAACTTCTTAACATAAGGTATCTGCATACAAGATATGAAGCATCCAGGTCTTCTACCTTCTGAAATATAAAGATTCATACAAATAGCTTACGCCGCTGTCGCCGCTGCCGGATCTTGCATACTGCGAATTTCGTTGAAGGCGAGACAAAAATGAAGATCTGTTTAACTAAAGGACAAAAAGGTATAGCCAAAATTGGGGAAGGAATCAGAGCTTTGCATGAGGGAGATATATATTCCTTAACTTAAAATAATTTCTCCAAAAAAGAATTCTTGTAACTGTAAATGCTCCAAATTACCGAGCCCCCAAAAAATGTCAATAAATTAAACAGGCATCAAAAGGTTTAACTGGGGTATAGAAATAGGGTCAGTCTGTTTGGCTGTGCATAATGAGGGTCACGTTCACTGTAGATTAAAGAACCCATGCAACGACTCTCTGAAATGTCAGTACGTGGCCTGTTTCAAGGCAAAATGTCTGTCACCTTTACAACATACCATTATTTCAATAGGTATTTGAAATTCCTGCTTTTTATCCCGTCCACCCTATTGATTTATTTAGTTTATTTGTTCTCATGTTAAAGTGTATGTAATACTTACTGCTAGACATTTGGCGAACAAAAAACAATTAATCATCACGTAATTCTCCAAATGACAAACCTTTAGATATAACATAAGACATTCATTGAAGACAGGAACATGAATATATGCAAGGTTTAAATTAATTTATTTAGATTTCTACCTTTCTGTCATCGTTAAAAAAACTTTTATGAAGATTTGGTTATTGTTGGCCGGTGTAGTTTGCTTGGGAGTCAATATTTTGGGAAATTCCGGATATATTTCCAGTAAATCATGTGGTTCCCAATAAAATTTTCTAAATTGAAAGGGTTGCACAAATTCACATATAATGAATTGGGAGTCTGTAATTCAGTGGTTGTCCTTCGTTGCTCTATGTCATATTCGTTTTTGGTTTATTTTTTTGTACATTAATCAGGCTGTTGGTTTTCACTTTTGAATTGTTTTACATTATGTCATTTTCCGGCTGTTTATAGCTTACTATACATATGGGTCTTCATAGCTTTTGATTTTGTCAGTTTTTATGGACTTCCCCTTTTTGGGGGTTTGCCTTGGAGTTCTGTATTTTTGTTGTACTTTTTTGCCACAGGCACATGTCTCTGAAAATTTCCTATATACCTCAACAAAAATGTTATATTAAGGTAAATAGGAAAACATTTTTCAGAGACAAGTGTCTGTGTTTTTGCTCATTGTTGAAAGCCATGCAATGACCTATGGTTGCATACATCTATTTATTATGTCTCTGGTGGATAGTTGTCTCATTGGCAATCATACCAAATCTTTTTTATGTATATATTGTGTACAACTTCTAGCTCTACTGTAGATGTTGAAAGTAATCTTAAACAAAGGCAGAAATTCTGGCCAAATAACAAAAATAACAAGTACTAGGAAAATACTATTTATTCAAGTGTAGAAAATTAGGTGAATTTCTAAAGCTATGTAACAATAAGAAGTATATCTTTAAGCATTTGTAAAGGAATGAGGAAAACAGATAAAATATAAAAGTGGAATGTTATTTCCATTGGTAAAGCAAATAAATTCAGACTGAATATCAATATGAAAAATCAACCTTTGTCTAATGAACACTGAATCTTCTCTTAACTGTTGTTCAATTCTAAACACATCAGCATCAATAATTCATTTGTCCTGATTCTTAAATCTTTGTTAGTTAAATTAAGAATTATAACTATTATAAATTTTGATCACTTTTCAGTATTATTAAATTGGGGGAAAAACAAACAGAATATAAAAACATAACTAATTTACATATGCTTTCTTTTTAAGCTCTATAAAATCTGAGTTCAACTGAATGTTTCTTCTTTTTAAATATTCTTATTAGATATTTTCTTCTTTCAAAAGAAAAATTTTACTGATTCTAATTTTTTCCCCCTATCATTCAATGAATTTGTCTTTATAATCATGTTATCTCAATTTGCAGTTGTTCGATGACTGTCCATAAGGATTCACTATTGGTGTCAAAAGAGTTTGCTATGCCAAATCTCCACTTAAGAAGAGTTTAAATGGTGAGACCCACCTCATGAAGTAGCTCTTTAATGTAATTCTTACAAAGTTTTAAATGCTCTGGATCTCTAACATATACAGTTCAACCCCTGAAACAGAACTCTTGTTCATGAATGTATAGTATCCTTTGTTCATTTCAGTTCCTCAACACTTTTGAAAACTTACAAATACAATATTTCACCCAGAATGCTTTACTGATGAAGAAGCTTCAATGTTCAACAAAAAATAGTTGTAAACTCTAAAATCAAGAATTTGTCTATCAAGCCAATACTATATTGTTCTACCAATTTTTACACATCTAAAATGATTTCCTTGATAGTATTACAGATATAAAAACAAAATGTTTGATTCTGAACTAAGTACAACAAATACATATTCAATATGGTTTATGATACATGATAAATGTACAATTTGTAAAAAATCATCACAACAACTCATGTGGGACAATGAACAATACAAACTATGGGTATTTATTGGACAATAGAATTCCTACTATGGCATAAATCATAGTAATTATACAATATTATTCCTACTATGGCATAAATTGCAGTAATTATACAATATTATTCCTACTATGGCATAAATTGCAGTAATTATACAATATTATTCCTACTATGGCATAAATCATAGTAATTATACACTATTATTCCTACTGTGTGGCATAAATCAATCTGTATAAACAACTTTTTCAAAGAGATATTAAAGTAACATCACTCAATTATTCTGTACAATTTCTGAGATTAATATTGCAGAATTTTCTTCTTGTACTTAATGTTATACAACTCCATATACATGCTTAACAACCAGTTCAACTTGTTTTCAACTTAAAGTTCCACTTAATTTAAAGTCAATTTAAAGCAAATTTTATTACATCAATTCCGATAGACAATTTTAAACATTTCATGGCACAAATTATCAATTTTCTTATTCCAAGCTGTCTTTTTAAAGTTTTTCCCAATGGGATAGTAATGTATTGTAATTTTTTTTTTATGTCTAGTTGATTTTAACATATTTTTAAGCTTTGACTTTGTTGATACTTGAAAATTTTTATTTAGCCCTATAGTGTTCCATGATTATACTATTTCTTCACTTATGCTTATAAATGATCATAAAGTCTAGGGTTTATATTATTTCCCAGAAGCGACAAAAAATGAATTCAAGAAACAAGGAACATCTTTAGAATGTAGTATTTTTTTTTGCCTTTGGCTATTTAAAACATGTTTTACCTCCCTTCGTATTCCAAAAATTGATAATATTTCCATTAATTTTGCAATAACATGAGCATGAACATAGCAGTAACGTATTTCAATCTTTGCATCAATCTTTAATTTGATGTATGCTAATAAAACATAACCTACTCTGCTAATTTCCCAACATTTAATCTTTGACTGATGACATCAAAACACATTACCATTATAAGCTTAATTATCAAATCTAAAAACGGATTTTTAAAAATGCCCTATCAAGACTACTTATCTTGATTCAGAAATAAAAAAAGCTGGAAAAATCAGTAAAGCATGGACATGATAATAGTCTTTCGAGACAATTTTATTGAATAACTGCAATTTAACAGTTGTCATGTGTATTAAAGGTTTTTTTCTAAAATTGGAGATATCGCCATCAAGTTTGTCTAAATGGCTAAGTAAAGAAATGTAAATAATTTCATAAAGTAAAATTTTTATCACTGATATAACACAGATTTGATCACTGAATTTAACGTAAACATCTAACACGATACATTTATTTACAATGAAAATGATAATGTAAGCAATGATTTGTTATCTATAAATGGACATCAGATTACACGTGTGAAAACTTGGAATAACTAGTGATAAAATGAAATGTCAACATCGAAGCTCTGTATATTTGTGTAGAAACGACTAAATGCAAAGTAACATAAACAAAATTATCAGATCTAGACTAGCAGATCATATACATATATCTATTGCAAACTAACCTCAAAATAATTCCCAGTACTTTCTTACATCTACTTGTTTCCCAGTTAATTTACGATCTAAAATAGAGCCAACTAAAATAAAAATTGACTCTTTAAATATTTCATACAAATATTCTAAGTTAATTTGTTCCCTCAATGTTTAGTATTATTCATCTGAACAGACTTTTGCTCCCCAAAATAATGGTCAAATTATGTCACACATTCCAACTTCTTGCAATGTTTAATAGTAGCAAACAATAGTTCTAATAAAAACATACTAAGGTGAAACAATACACTCAAGACTTTTTTTTTACAAAAGATTGTAGTTATAAAAGAACAAGAGGTTGGTCAGAATAAACATTCATTACCAAAACATTTACATCTAAAGGTCAAAATATAACCTAAATCAATGAAAACATGTTCACATAATATAACTATTTGTAAATCACAATGAGGCTTGAAGTCATTTTGTTATACTACTCTTGTGTAAAGTTTTAATCTGCCTCTAAGGTAAGACAAAAATGATTGACTGTGGTTTCAATGTATCACATAACTTTCTCTCTCAGTTTGATTTTTGGTATCTTAAACTGTATTTTGATTAGTTTTTTAATGATTTGGAGGCATTTAAGGTTCTTTTGCCAGTCCAACAATCAAATTTTGTGCTATAAATACATCTTTCATATGGTTCTTTTTATCTTTTCACTAATTTTTGTACATTGTGATTGTTTTTCTATGGTTTCTCACAGTCAAGATAATATATAGTTGTCTTATTAGTCAAGTTGTGCTGGGCAGCATATTTATGTAAAGTAGTGTCGAAGGATATAAATCAAACCAGGGCTTTTGTATTGAAAATGGAACTGATTTATTTCGTAGATGTATTCTTTTTGCCCTTCTTAAAAAAGCAACAACTAAAAGGTTGTGTTAGAAGAGAATTATTTGTTTTCAAATGCACATCTGAATACTCCTACGTAAAGTTTCTTGGAGGCTGTAACTAAAATGGATTGACAGACTAATCTATATAGCCATCTTTTGTTTGCAGGTGAAATATACCAATTTCATAAAAACTATATTCAAGTGAATAATTATGGTTAAAAAGATAATAATACACAATCTATAATATGAAAGGTCTGTATAAAGTTAGTATATGCTTATTTATAGTCATGGAAATTACAAATGATAATAACAAAACACTCTTCCTGTGTTTCAAACTATAAGAATCTAATTATTAACTGGAGCTGATTACTATAACATCAATTGCAGAACATCCATCTCCCATCCCTATTCAAATAGTTACCAAATATAATCCCTTAACAACAGTTACCAAACATAATCCCTTAATAAATGCTAATGTAGCTGCTATTCAATCACCTTTGTAACTAGATCTATTTATCAAAGTGAGGAATAAAGTAATTGGTAAAAATAAGATGGACCAGTTCATATCTGATAAGGAATAGTTCCTTGTTAAATCTTATTTTCTAAAATTGTGAATATGTATATGATCACCTTAAGGCATGTTTAAATTTGTAAATTTCTAATTAGAACTATCTCAAGTCATACCAAAACTGACTCAAGAAAATTGTTCTTATTGGAAAAGTAAGGGAATCAACATAACACAATCAAGCAACTGTATATCTGCTCCTCTTTTTTTAAACTAGCAACCGAAAATCTTAAATTCCAAATACCAAACCTCTAAGTAATTTAACATTCCCTTTTTTAAGTTTTCAGACATGACATTTATCTGTACTGAACTCAACAATAATCAATTCTATAGAATAAGCACTAGAGTGTTCATAACAATGTAAAGGAAATAAATCTTTCAAAGCCAACAGAACATTTTAACAGCATTGTAAAATTATAGCATCTTATTTACACGGACTCAAATGTTTAAATCAAGATGATGTGTAATGATATAGTTATTTCATTGGAAACAAAGAATAGCATCTAGTAGCTCAATTGAATTGTTATCTTTTAACTGACCGTTAAATGAGACATTTTGTGATTTATTAAACTTATATAATGAGACAAACTTAAGTTGATAGATAAAATGTAATCCCTCTTTTCAAAAATGTGAAAAAAATATCAGGCAGAAAAGATAAATCTTAATCCCCTTTGTTTGAACTTACGGCACTGACCACACAAATTAAAATTTAGAATGCAACGCCAGACAAAACATTTATCTTAATGTCATAACTGTCATATAGCTTCTATAAAGGGAAATATGAAGAATCAAACGCTTTATAAAGTTTAACCTGGAAATTCGATATAATTTATATTGTCTTAGAGTTATTTCCCTTTGATCATAGAAATTTCCACTTTACAAAATTTGCATTTGCATGAAGAAAGGCTAGGTTCTGATATTCATTTTATTCACACATTGAAAAATATGAACTGAAATCAAACGAATTTCAATCTGCCTGATCTGTTCCCACTCAACAAAATTAAAATAAGATGACCCATAATGATCCCATCAATGACATGTTAACAACCTTTCTCTAGTTTTAAAATTAAAAAAACAACATAAAATGTCCATTAGAAAGATATACATTTATATCCTGCCTTTAATTTCAGTTACGGATTTGTTCAAAAATATTCAAAATTTGATCATCATCACTATTTAATCCATTTAAGATAGGGTCATTTAATTCTTGTATGGTCTATTTTGCATGGATTCATTATTGAGTGTTTTAGCAGGTTCAGAGGTAAACAAATATCTGTTTGAAAAATGATAGTTCCACATTTAAATGCCTTTTAAAATTTCCTACCATGTAAATTATGCTAAATAGTTCCAAAATAGTCTTACAAGTAAATTTTTAAAGTTATATTCATATTTGTTTATTAATAACATTCCACAACTATATCTAATTGCATAATTATGTTTTCTTTATCTGTTATGAAAAAGCAATCAATTTATAATAGGATTTAAAGATTAATTTTATATTAGATCAAATTCACAATTATAACTTTTCATTAAAATGTGTTAGTTGCGGGAATATACCTCTCTTAGCATTATCTATCGATACATACACAAATTCATTTATATAAAAATACAATTTATAATATTTACAATTATACTATAAACAATATCTACCACTTAATTACACCATCAATGTGCACATTTTCTGTGATGTAAAAATAATTCTATATACAAAATAATCTGCAGTAAACAAGATATACATATTAATTTGTGCAACAATTTAGTGTAAATCATGTATAAACTGTATATATTTGCATAATATATAGAAACAAAAATAAAACAAACACATTTTAATAAGGTCATTCAAAACAAATTTAATTTTCAATATTTTTTTTAGCTATCATGTTATTTATAATACATTGTATTGTTTATGTTGGGCAAACTAAAAACACGACTTTCGATCCCTACCTTTAAGATAAATAGTATTTTCACTGAGTTTGTGTGTCTTTAACCTCATAAAAAAAATGTGATCTGAAAGTTGAAGATTTAATATAAAAAATGTTATCTCATATAAAAAACCTGATATAATCTTTTTCTTTTAGATGAAAAATAAATCTATGAAATGGTGTTATGTTGTAAATCGTAAGATCCAAGTTCCCTTCTTAATATTGAGATGAAACTTACACATTTCACAATAGTCAAATTCACAGTATTGCATTAGTGCAATATTGTTTGAAAGTGTTGATGTAAATAATGGTTACATATTGTTCATGTCAACTGAAACTTTTGATTGAAGTAAAGGAATATTGCACAAATATTGGTTAATACTATTCCTCATAGAATATTAACTACAATCTCCTGACAACAATATTCACAATATTTGTGCAATAGTTCTACAAAAAAATGTTGGTTGATTTTAACTTATAAATCATTATTATTTCCATTATTGATGATATATTAAGATTAATTCAAGTTGAGTGACTATAATTAATTTTTTACCTTTTAAAGGAAGGCTTGGCTATCACTATTGTTTTTTGTTTCAATACATATCTACTAATACAAAACTATACAAATTAACCATTTACAAAAAATATATATAAATTTGTAGATCATTTCTCAAAACATGTCTCTTGGTAAAAAATTCATAAATATCATCTAAATCAAAGTCAGATTCAAAGATCAAAAAATTTGAACTCATTTCTCTGTGAATTTTGTAAAAACTTTTTTTTTTAAAATAACCCCCCAAAAGTATTTGCATGATCCATTATGAACAAATTCTTATTTTGCACTACAAGATGGCTATACAAATTTATCAAAATTATGAAATAAAACCTTTAAAATGAGGCATGTTTTTAAACATAAGAAACAAGTCATAAAAATATATACAGACATCGGTTTGATTATAACTATCAATAATAAATGATTGAAATATCTTCATCTATTAATAGTGTATTTTACACATTTGTTCATGAAGTTCATCACAACCATTTCTAAAAAAACAACAACATAAGAATTCATTTGAGTATATGTATACAGATCTATGTTGTGGATGTTCCATAAAATTATACCAAGAAGGCACGTTGAATTTTCAAATATGGGTGGGTGTCAAGTGCAATGAAAATGTAAGTGCAATTTTCAAATTTCCACTATAGGTAAATACCCCTTTTGAAAGTGCCTTCCTTGAGTACCATGCATGTTTAAATGATACAGCCCTTAACTGATTGAAAAAACCTCTCCTTCAATAAATCATCAAGTTTTTTATCCAAATACTATTGATTTGTGGTTTTCTAAAAAAGAGCAATTATATAAACTCCTTCTAATGGAAAATATATTTTGGTGATTTCAATAGAAACAAGATAAACACATGATGATCACTTTGCAAGATGTCTTATTTTCACATAATATTAACACCTTTCTTAAATATTAAAATTTTTTTAAATCGTAAGTTTACGGTAAACGGACACTTTTAAAATGAGCAACTATGAATGCCATCATGATGTATATCTTACTTATTTTATTAGTCAGTATCATATTTTCTTTTATTTGGAAATCGTGAGACTAATAAAGATTCTATTGTTTTTTTCTTGGACATTTAATCACTGAAGCATTTAAACATTTTCTTAAACGTGTGTTCTAGAATATTGAAGATTCATAAAAAAAAGTAAAGAATTTGGCGAAGAGAGGTAACAAAAGTATTAAATTAAGGGGAGACAATTTAACTGGATATTACTACAAATCACCCAGTTTTTACACTATTTTGTTATATATCAAGAAAACAAGAACTCAAACCCAAAATTTCCTTTTATCATTCTAAAGCAGGGGTTGTCCTAAAAGAAATCTCCTTCAAAAACATATCGTCTTAATTGGGGTTTATATAAATACATACTCCTCCAAAAAAATATATATATATGTTTGTTTGTTTCACCCAGGAATTAATTCCCCCTTTGTCATATCTAATAATTACATTTAGAACCCTTTTTTTTTCCAAATGGTACGGTGATCTATATTTTACAAATTAAATGGTAATATATATATGTTTACTCTTTTTCGGAAAATTTCAGAAAAAAACTTTATTTTACTGTCTTTCTGACTCTTATACTACTTATAATTGTATCTTAATAATTTGATAAGCTCAAGACAATCTACTTGTGGTCAGCAAAGTCTGCAAAAAATATGACAGAAAAACAAGTAAAGTTCCCTAATATAGTATAAAAATTTAATAAGGTGTCTTTTTCATTGAATCTTAGAAATCCGAATGTCATATTCAAGATTAGTTTCCCAATGAAGCACAAATCCCAGACAGCATATGTTTCCATGACAATGCCTTTGATACTGTACACTATGGTACAACAACAGTGTTGATTGCGTAGCAATTTTTCAGAACAATTTAGATGAAATATTTAATTTAACTAATAGATTTCTGCTTTTTTAACTGTGAAATGTAAATTAAAAAAAAAGATTTTGAAATTTCACAGGGTAAACAAGCATAAAGTGATTAACATAAATTTTCAGTATGAAGTCATAGTGCTTACAAGTTTCATATAAAATGTGCCACTATCAACACACTTTTACACAACTGAAATTACGAAAAGATTCATTAAATTTTTGTTACAACACACATTTGTTTAATCCTCTTGTGAGTAGTAAAAGTCGTGTTATATTGAACCAGATCAAAATCCAACTTCAAATGATTAATCCATTGAATGTTTTTATGTGGTCTTCAAGTGATCAGAGGTGTATATACAGGCAAGAAATTTTTAGTCCTAGTAGACAGAAAATTAAACTAGGACAACATAACATTGCATTTTTGTTTAGAAATGAGATCATTTTTCTTAAGAAACATCAACATGTCAAAAATTATGTACAATTACACTGCATTTAAAGATACCAGTAAAATTTCTTTATCTTATTACAATTAAGAATTTATATTATTTGTCAATCATAACCATGGTAATAACAACTAGTTTCTATAGTGACTGACAGATGTCCTATTAACCTACAATTCACCTAATAAACGCATACCTGTCAATTATGGATTATAAAATTCTTCTGATCTGACCAAGAGAATGAACGGTAAAATTTGACCTATGATTAGAAAAAGAATTTTCTATGTATTTCTTAATCCTGGTATAACTTCAAAGCAAAAAGAGTGAAATTAAATGTATCTAAATAAATAAATTTTAGGAAAAATAGGAACATCTTCGAAACTATTTTCAACATTTGTTAACGTGCACAAAAAATTATAACAATATAAAACAAACATATAACAAACAATAAGGTATATCTAGGAATGTACAAAAAATGCATGGTTTTGTACTATGTATGATGTCATCAAGTGTCAACTATGATGTCATCAAATGTCAACTATGATGTCATAGTGAATCCACTACTGGATGTTGATGTCTTGTCTTGCAATGATTCTGTGTGGTTTGCTGAAGAGAGCTGGTCAGCTACTTGACAATAATGTTTGTTCCTAATGTGCTCAACTAAGGCATTAGTATTGGCACATTCCTCGTGACAGAGCACACACTGGATGTTACTTATTGGAAAAGGTAACTTCTGGTTCATTGCGGATTGGCTAACAGGTAAAATGGCTGAAAATAGCAAAAATTTCATTAATTTTGGTTTTTTTCCCCTCTTTTTGAACTGTTGTTGACAATTCAGGAGGTCAGAGGGTTAACAAAAATCAATTTTGTCATCACATGGTTTATTTTTTTAAGGTGGTACCTAACACTACAGGGAGATAACTCTGTAAAAATCAGCTAAACGTTTTAATTACCTTGTATTGTTAAGGAGATATTAAGCTTCTCTATGATCAAAGAAAGTGTTAGTCAAACTGCTATATACATGTAACCAATGAAATTTTTCTGAGAAAGTGGTTGGTTCAAATTTTTTGAAATTTTCATATTTTTGTCAAAGGGTCAAAGTAAACATTTTGTCAAAATTTTATGAAAATTAAACAAGCCGAATTAATATTAGTCGAGGTGTTGGGTACCACCTTAATTCAACTTTTTAAACAAACACTAGTACTGTTATCTGAAACATACACATATATTTTGACCTAATATTTGAATCACACATACAAATGTATATCACTCATAAATAATTGCAACAAATGAAATGTAAAAAACAACAATAAAATACATGTACAATAAATACATGAAAATGTTAACTAAAACTTTGACTTCTACTCTCTATTCAATACATAACCAGACATATGTATGTGCATTTGTGTTTATAGAGAGTGAAGGAAGCAACATATCAATTAAATCATTTAGTAAAACAACTATTAAATTTTGCATTGGTAAATGTACATGTATATGCTTTTTTATATATAAATTTGCAGATAAAATTTGACAATTACGAACCCTGATAAGGTCAATACAAAATAAAATATTTTGTGTATAGTTTTTATAAATGAAATTGTGAAGAAAAGAAAATTTCGCACAATGAAGATTATTTTTTTCAATTGCAGTCATTTCAATTTCACTGGCCATATAAGTATTTTCAAATTCAATTGGTCATGAGCATTCCTAATGAAAGTGAAATCAGAGAAGTGCTGGGGCAGCTGCAAACTGTAGTACAATGTATGTTTCATTATATCCACAATTTTCTTCAATCAAAAATATGAGTCGTTCATTTTGTTGATATGCTTGATTTTGTCAGGTTTTATGAACCCCCCCCCCCCCTTTTTGAATTTACCTTGAAGTTCTGTATTTTTGTTAATTTACCTTGAAGTTATGTATTTTTGTTAATTTACCTTGAAGTTCTGTATTTTTGTTAATTTACCTTGAAGTTATGTATTTTTGTTAATTTACCTTGAAGTTATGTTTTTTTGTTAATTTACCTTGAAGTTATGTATTTTTGTTAATTTACCTTGAATTTCTGTATTTTTGTTAATACTTTTATATTAATAATAATACCTGGAATAAACCTTTTATCATCTTCACTGGTATGTGGTTCAGTTTTGATGGGGACACTGTACTGGAGTCTGATTCCATCTTCTTTTTTCACTGCTTCATCATAAGTAGGTAATTTAGCTGTAGCACCATCTTCAGTTTTAATCTCACTGACCATATTATCTCCCACAGACTGTTGTTCTTCATGTGACCGTGTGTTGTTTTCTATGGCAGCAGCATATTCTAGTAAATTACTGACTGCTGTTGATGATTCTAAGGCCCCAGCTTCTAATGCAGCCTTTTCTGCGTCATTTTTACGTTGGACGTTAAAAACACTGAAATCCTCAGCATTAGTAGACTTTGCCTCACCCTCTTTTTTAATAGTTTCAGTTTCAGATCTCGGTTGTACATTGAAGATATTGAAGCAGTCATAGGCAGACTGGCTTCCATCCCCACTGAGTGTTTCTTTCTCCCCTTCCTGTCCCTCATTCTGAGCCTCAATAACTTTGTTAACGTATGGAATGCCTGAAAGACAGTATGTGGTTTGATCTCCTGGTACTGTATACAAATATTGCACGTTAGAACTACCTCCTGCTTGTTCAGACACACTACTTAAATGTATGTCTAACATGTTAGCATTATCAACAAGCCAGGCCGAAGCAGATTGTGCAAATTCTGGTGGAATCTGAACACCATTTTCTCCTTGTAACAATTTGGCTATCTGTTGATAGGACAGATCTTTTGGTTCAATGGCAGGTTGCTGGTAAGATTGTTCAACAGATGTGTTCGGAACTTGGTAGGACTGTTCACTTGTCGTACTTGGTACATGATGGTATGCTTGTTGTGAAAGCTGACTGTTTAAAATGGGGTATGTCTGTTTAGTTGATGGTTCTATTTTGATGGTTTCCGTAGTAACAACTTGATGATGAGGATGATTAACAATTGTCTGCTCAGTCGGTCTTGCAGTTAAAACTACAAAATACATAAATAGAATCTAGACATGTATTGGATTTTAAATTTGACAAAGATAAGATTGAGTCAGCCTCATTTTTTTTATTCATCTCTGTTCATGTATAGTATGTACAACTTCATTTCAAAATTCATCTTAACTTCCCCAAAAAGCAACAATTATGCAACTGAAACTTAAAAAAACCTTTATAGATTACCAAAAATCAGTAATGCTAGCAATGAACTTTTGCTACATTGAGTCCCTAAAATAAATAATATTGCCATGTTTCAAAATAGTTACAGTCCTTAAAAAATAAATAACTAAAAATAAGATTTTTGAATAATAGGCAGGGCTCACTCTACTTCAGAATGATAGGGTGGTGGGACTTCTCTTTTTGAAACTGATAGGGAGAAGTGGTGAGACTTAAAAGACAAGTGTTTGTTCGCTCGTGGCGCTATAATGTTTTTACAATAATTATTTTATAAAAAAGAAAATACAATTAAAGTAACATTTGTCTCAGTTTATGTCTTAAATTGTCATTTATAGTTACATAATTATATTTTGTCTACGATTTATTTAACAAATAACAAACATATGTTACTACAGATTTAGAAAATTTAAGGAATAAAGAGTAGATAACTCATGAAAGTATCTGTAATAACACATGCAAGATATTTTCTCTAATAACCCTATAGAGTTATATTCCTGACTGAAAATGGGATGGAAGGAAAGACGGATGGTCAAGGGTAAGACTTAATGCTTCCGTCGTCTATGGCGGGGGCAAAATAAAAGAAAATAAGAGAAGAATGTGTCTGACGACATGAATGCTCTCGCTCAAGCTTTGCAACAAAAATTGGTCGGATGGAGAGACGAAAGGACGTATAGATGGAAGGTCAAGGGTAACACTTAATGCCCCCGTCACCTACGGCGAGGGCATATAAATTATACTTCATCAATTAAAGTTCAATGAGGAAAACTATTCTGTTTATGAAACTCATTGTTTTTCATTAAAAAGATATTTTATTTAGGGGTATATCTTTGTCAATATCTTGTTCCTGGTTGTGTCATTGGCAATCTTACCACCTGATAAACTGATATACTGTTGACAAAAAATTCTAAATTACTTGGGCTCCTTTCACAAAGAATCTTGAGACTAAAATGGATCTGGAGTTATACTGAAATGTTAATGAGAACTTCCAACTTTGTCTGTTCAAAATGGGGGTTTACATACAACTTCAATAAAACATGTGTAAATAAATAATTATACAGTGCTAGGTTTCAAAACTAAAGGTTGATTTATGTAGAAACTGAGGGTACATAATATGGGATTTAGCAATCAACATCTTAAATTCTGTCACAAACCATACCTTTCATATCATGATTATTTTTTACTTTTGATTTGCTTAAAAGTTCAATTTCTTGGCAATGCATGTGTAATAATAACTTTTTTTTTACCTTACAGAACACTGCTGCTTGGTTTTCAATTTACCTTTTGCATTAGGCTTTTTCTTTTCTGCTTCCACACTTTTACTTCTGCTCTTTTTCTTATCTCGATCTCTACCTTCAGCATTTTTACACCATGCTTGGTTTCTATGTTGACTGAAAGAGCCAGAATGGGCAAATCGTTTTCCACACCATTCACAATGGTAAGGTTTTTCACCAGTATGTAGTCTTTCATGTTCAGTACGATGATGTTTGTGTTTGAATGCCTTACCACAGGTACTGCAGGCAAACTTTCTGTCAACTGTAAATGTAAGTATTGTATAAGTACTTCAGGTAAACATTTTGCCAACTGTAAATGTAAGTATTGTATAAGCACTGCAGGCAAACTTTCTGTCAACTGTAAATTATGTAAGTTTTGTATAAGTACTGCAGGCAAACTTTCTGTCAACTGTAAATGTAAGTATTGTATAAGTACTGCAGGCAAACTTTCTGTCAATTGTAAATGTAAGTATTGTATAAGTACTTCAGGAAAACTTTTTGCCAACTGTAAATGTTAGTATTGTATAAGTACTTCAGGAAAACTGTTTGCCAACTGCAAATGTAACTATTGTATAAATACTGTAGGAAAACTTTCTGTCAACTGTAAATGTCAAATATTACTGTATATAGCCCTGATCCTTTAGAATCCCAATTACTGTATATAGCCCTGATCCTTTAGAATTCCCTATTACTGTATATAGCCCTGATCCTTTGGAATTCCCAATTACTGTATAGCCCTGATCTTTTAGAATTCCCTATTACTGTATATAGCCCTGATCCTTTAGAATTCCCTATTACTGTATATAGCCCTGATCCTTTAGAATTCCCTATTACTGTATATATATAGCCCTGATCCTTTAGAATTCCCTATTACTGTATATAGCCCTGATCCTTTAGAATTCCCTATTACTGTATATAGCCCTGATCCTTTAGAATTCCCTATTACTGTATATAGCCCTGATCCTTTAGAATTCCCTATTACTGTATATAGCCTTGATCCTTTAGAACTCCTTATTACTGTATATAGCCATGATCCTTTAGAATTCCCTATTACTGTATATAGCAGAGATCCTTTAGAATTCCTTATTACTGTTTATAGCCCTGATCCTTTAGAATTCCCTATTACTGTATATAGCCCTGATCCTTTAGAACTCCCTATTACTGTATACAGCCCTGATCCTTTAGAATTCCCTATTACTGTATATAGCCCTGATCCTTTAGAATTCCCTATTACTGTATATAGCCCAGATCCTTTAGAACTCCCTATTACTGTATGTATACAGCCCTGATCCTTTGGAATTCCCTATTACTGTATATAGCCCTGATCCTTTAGAATTCTCTATTACTGCATATAGCCCTGATCCTTTAGAACTCCTTATTACTGTATATAGCCCTGATCCTTTAGAATTCCCTAGTACTGTACATAGCCCTGATCCTTTAGAACTCCTTATTACTGTATATAGCCCTGATCCTTTAGAATTCCCTATTACTGTATATAGCCCTGATCCCTAGAATTCCCTATTAGTGTATATAGCCCTGATCCTTTGGTATTCCCTATTACTGTATATAGCCCTGATCCTTTAGAATTCACAATTACTGTACATAGCCCTGATCCTTTAGAATTCCCTATTACTGTATATAGCCCTGATCATTTAGAATTCCCTATTACTGTATATATATAGCCCTGATCCTTTAGAATTCCCTATTACTGTATATAGCCCTGATCCTTTAGAATTCCCTATTACTGTATATAGCCCTGATCCTTTAGAATTCTCAATTACTGTATATAGCCCTGATCCTTTAGAATTCCCTATTACTGTATATAGCCCTGATCCTTTGGAATTCCCTTTTACTGTATATAGCCCTGATCCTTTAGAATTCCCTATTACTGTATATAGCCCTGATCTTTTAGAATTCCCTATTACTGTATATAGCCCTGATCCTTTAGAATTCCCTATTACTGTATATAGCCCTGATCCTTTAGAACTCCCTATTACTGTATATAGCCCTGATCCTTTAGAACTCCCTATTACTGTATATAGCCCTGATCCTTTAGAATTCCCTATTACTGTATATAGCCCTGATCCCTAGAATTCCCTATTAGTGTATATAGCCCTGATCCTTTTAAATTTCCTATTACTGTATATAGCCCTGATCCTCTGAAATTCATGACCACTAGTATTCTTCCTGTCAATCTAAAACCATTCAAAAACTTTCCAGGGAAAACACAGAAAACTGAGTGTATTTATATATATGTTCTCTTCCTTAAGTACTTACTAATATCTTCTTTACTGCTTTTTCTCCTTTTCACCACTCTTTGCAAGCTCTGGACTTGCACTTCTTGTTCCATTTTATAATTTTTTTAAACAGTCATATCAATCGACAGAATCACAAGGAGAAAGTTGAAATCTTGTCTCTGTTGACTATATGCTGTACATTTATAGCATCATGATTTTTTTTTTATCTGTAATGTATATAAAATCATATAAAATTCATATTCAATTTCATTTTGAGAAATGGTTATACATGTTATAACACATATTTGTACATGTACAGATAAGAATAGCACAAACAGACAGAGAGATACTACAGTCTACATCCACAACTTACAAATTGATATGCCCTTTTTTTTTGGAAAAAAATGTATTTAAGTCAAGTGAACCTACACCTCCTGGTGGTTGAAGCTGGTAGAGTAATCAGGAAGGATAGTGAAGTATGCTTTGGTTGTCTTAAAACACCACAAATCCAAACTTTAAAAAAAACAACATCCTGGTTACTACAAAGAAATTATTATATTGTGGTCAACATGTTTCACCACTTAAGAGTGGCTTCTTCAGGACAATATAAAGTTTGGGAACAAATACTCGTCCATAAAATGAGGTTCATGTGGGGTTACATAAAGGTTATATATAAATTAACAGGGGAACAAAAATGTTACATGTATATGTAGACTTTAACTGCCATGTATAAATATAAAAATCTAGAGAAAATCTCATCAGACGATGATAGAATGTTATCGTGTATATACCCTTTTCATAAATGAGGTGACATGGTTAACATGAGTTGGTAGACATAAGGACGAGTTTGTCTTGCTTCCAAATAAATTGTCTTTTTCTCTGAATAAATTAATGATGATGATAGCCACTGTTGTGAACACACTGGTGACTACATGTAGTGATTGCTTTTGGCAATGAGGCACATGTGTAGCAATTCACAAAATAAACAATATGAAATCTAATTGAACTTGTCATTCAAAATATCGAAGAAAAGAGAAATAAGAAAAGCTGTATTTAACCATATTTAAAAACATCTTTGACAATATGTGAAATATCACATACATAATGTTGTTACTGTTTATACAACAACAGTTTATCATTAAATTTCAAATTTTGAATTATTAACGCTTTTAAATTAAGTTTTAGCTTTGAAAACTTGGTAAATATTTTTAAAATCGAGTAGCAGATTCTTGATTTTAAACAAACAAATGGCTTCGCGTGAAAGCACACAATTTCGTATTGCATTTGCTTAAAATATTCCAAAAATAGCCATTCAATATGTCAAAGAGTATTTCATTGTTGTTTATACTATGTTTTCATACCTGTACATAGGTATTTAATGCAATTTTACCTGTAACACAGGTGAAAATTTACAAAGCGAAGCTTTGGTCGCCAATTTACCGGAAGTGATTAAGTCTGTCTAAATACAAATCAAAGCCGGACTATTATGTGTTATATTTTCCGGAAATGGACACACCTTAATCGATTGCAACATATGATGACTCATTTTTAAGATCTTTTAACTGATATGATATTCAAAATTTAATTTAAAGACAAGACAGCATGTGCAATAGTTAGTGCCACAACATAGATATAATGAATAGTAAAAAGTAAAATCACAAAAATACTGAACTCCGAGGAAAATTCAAAAAGAAAAGTCCCCAATCAAATGGCAAAATCAAAAAAACAAACACATCAAACGAATGGATAACAACTGTCATATTCCTGACTTGGTACAGGCATTTTCTTTTGTAGAAAATGCTGGATTAAACCTGGTTTTATAGCTAGCTAAACCTCTCACTTGTATGACAGTCGCATCAAATTCCATTATATTGACAACGATGCGTGAACAAAAACTTGAGGAGTAAAGGAGAGGTGGAAGATATCAAAGGGATATTCAAACTCATAAGTCGAGTCCATGACACGTCCATGACAAACCGACAACGCCATGAAAATTCATGACAAGATCGAAAAACGAAATACAAACAACATCGAAAACTAACTACTAGACAACACGAATCCCACCAAAAACCGGTCGCCTATAAAATTGTATTTCTAATTTTGAAATCAAACCCCAAAAACCGTGAAAGAACATGCATGTACATATGAAAATTAGCACTATGTAAACAATATGTACATTTGATAACCATTAAAGTGAAGGGTAGAAAAACTTATGGGTCATAGCAGATTATGGTATCATGGTCTTCAAACCCTCTACTGTATTACATGAAACAATTTGTTTTGGCAATTGATTCAACTGTGTTATACTGTACGTGTTACTGTACGTGGATAAAATGAATATTTGTAGCTGTCTCTGTTTGGTTTTTTTTTTTTTTTTTGCCTAAATGAGTGTGAACTGATGTGTCTGGTTCTATTGTCTAGTGGGATGTAGGGACTGCAACGATTTGATGGATAATTTGGTAAATGATCTTTATAGTCTTATTTCAAGTGGGTACCAGTTTAGGCCTTCCCCATGTTAGTAACTAAGCTGGTGTTATGGAACTTGCTGTTGCTTGTGTATATATAGGTTTTCGTTTTTTGTTGCTCTCAGAATATTCCATTTATCAGGGTGAAAATGCATGAGCCAGAACCGCTCCCATCTGTTGGCCGCTTCTAAATCCGACTGTAATTTATGAGTGCCGTTCGTTTTTTTTTTTCGTTTGTAAATAATGCTATCGTCTGCAAATAATCGCAGTGTGCTATGTTTTATATATTCTGACAAACCTTTGATATAAACAGAAAATAAGATAGGTTCCAGTACTGTGCCTTGAGGTACTCCGGATGTTACAAGAATATTGTTATTTGATGTTTCGAGATCTCCTTCAAGGACTTCTATTTTACTTCTACTCTGCTTCTTAAAAATTTTTGAACCCAGTGTAATGCATTACGATTTATACCATATAAGCCGGTTTTATACATGAGGCAAGGGTGTAAAACTTTGTCATATGCTTTTGCAAAATTCAGAATTTTGATGTCATTTTGGATGTTTTTATTATTTGAATTTGCAAGGTCTTGAATGAATGATATTAATTGTGTTTCACAGGAACGGGATGACCGACACCCATGTTGGAAGTCATGTCGAACTTTATTTTAGGTATTTTCATAATATTGAAACTACAACGGTTGTTTCATTTGTATGTTAAAATGATATGGGCAAGAGTTTATTTGATCGTATTTGTCGCCTTTTTTAATGCTGGACATACATGTCTTGCACTCTTTTAAAATTTTGACATGTATGAGATCAGGTCCGGAAGCCTCACGAGATAAGGACAAGGGTTTGTATATATAACTATCTTTGATAAGGTTATTTTTTTTGTTTTTCTATGTTTTGATTAGTTTGATTAAATAATATTTCATTTCAATAACTAAGCACTTTGATTGGGCGAAAGTCATCAACATTAAACTTATCGATTTAATGAACCAGTGACGAAGGAGTATATAGACAAAAAAGTGAGGAGCGTTGGACTTCTGAAAGTGACAAGCAAAAAACAACCCATAGTCTTATAGTCTAGAAGTAAGACAGTGTCATCTTTCGTTTTCATTTTTCTTTTCAATAATCGTTTGTTGCCTAAATGTGTAGAGGGGGCTCTTACCCTTGGCTCCATCGCCCTTGTGACACAAAATACTTTATCGTTTTTTAGTTACGGTTTCGAAACTATATGCATCATTTCCAAACAAAAGCGTTTTAATATTGATTTGTATAATAATGTTTATTAGATTATTAGATAGAAATATTCTTTGATTGTAATATAATGGACATTTTAGGAAGAAATGCATAGCATATTCAACAGGAGAACCCGGTTATCCTATTTAGATTGTTCACTACATTATTTTAATGTAGGTTAGCATTTGAGAAAAATGCACTGGTGTCCAAGCATGGAATGCATGCATTCTGTTAAATATTTCGGAACATTCATGTTGGTGCTTCATTTGTGATAACCGCTGCTTTGGTTTTCTTTGTGTTGGAATCTATAACATGTATAAGCCATGCTTATTGCCAATACTTTTAAACTACAACAACAATAACAATTATACTTTATTTTGAAACACTCAGACACATATCTTTCTTTGTTGTAATTAATGTTACACAACTATTTTCAGGTTAGGGTGAAGGTTGGCGCCTGTTAAAATGTTTAAACCCGCTGCATTTGTTTGCACCTGTCCTAATTCAGGAACCTGTTTCAGTGGTTGTCGTTTGTTGATGTGGTTCTTAATTATTTCTCGTTTTTTATATAGATTAGACCGTTGGTTTCCCTGTTTGAATTGTTTTACACTAGTCATTTTGGAGCCCTTTATAGCTTGCTATTCGATGTGAGCAAAGGCTCCGTGTTGAAGGCCGTACTTTTACCTATAATTGTTTACTTTTTACACATTGTGACTTGGATGGAGAGCTGTCTCATTGGCACTCATACCACATCTTCTTATTTCTACATATACATGTGTAACAAGAGGCAAAGTACATAATAATATTTATGGTTGCTACTGAACAATGTTAACATAATCATATAATTGAGAGTATAATTACAATATTTTAACTAGTTTGTTAATGAAAAGTTATAAGTTCTTCATAACTTTAATGTTGCAAAATGAAAGCAGCCCTTTCATTTTCTAGACACATGGATACATGTGGTAATATTCTGAAATATGCTTATTTCTTATATTTCTAACATTAAGAGACTGGCACTCAAATAGATAGTGAAATTCATTTCCAATTGACAAGGAGCAGAGATGACACTGTCTTTGATCTCTAGGAATTCCATTCCACCTTTCTGTTTCTATTGGGATTTTAAGGTTGCAACATCGCAGTTTAGTAATATTTTTACGATCTGCAAAATGAGAGCCTTACTAAATATTTTTCTAATCCAAAGTCGATTTTGAAAAGACCATAATATTCCCTCCTCGATGAGTTTTGGATTTGACTGTGCCATTGTTGGATGAATTCGTCTGTTAATCTTTGCTTGATATTTGTTTTATCTGAATTGGATCTATCTTCGACAGCTCATTATAAATATCAATTTCTATTCTTTCTACCATAATATGAAAGAGAGGCGTCACATGAAAACAAACGTGCCAAGTTATTGAGGTTTTCTGTAATGTAGTAATCTATAACAGAAAAATAATAAAGGGCCAAAAAGAACCATTTGGAACTGCTGCCTTGCTTTCGCCTGAGTTTGTGGTTTCATCGTTCATAATTAAATCCAACTCGTTGTCTGTTGCTGATGCAGTCCTTAACCCAGTCTAATATACTTTACTAGATATTCCATACGAACGTAGTTTTTGTATAATGCATACATGCCAGACTCTATCAAAGGCTTCTGATATATAAATATGAATAAAAGGAGGTCTGGGAGTAAACGTCAATAAGACTTCAATACAACGACAAAAAATAACCAAAAGAGGGCAACATATACAGTCTTCAACAATAGAAATTCACAATCTGATTAAAATAAAGATCCTATGTCCAAGCTTTGCTTACAAGGATCTGATAACACTACTTTATACTCTCTGTTCTGATAATAATATTACATCAACCAATGAAATGTCAGTCTTAAAATTTTGAAGGTGTGAATTGATTCGACAAAACCAAAGGATCTCGAAAGGTCTTTAAAACAGCAAGTAGAACGGGGCGTTTTCAGATCGATCCTTGTAAGCAAAGCTTGGACACAGGATCTTAGGATCTGTATTTAAATGAGATTGTAGAAATTCAAAAACCAATAGGACAAAGATGTAAACAATTACAGGTCACCGTATGCCATTCATATTTAACTTCGAATTTGTCTTAAGTTTGTCCTAAATCATTTTTGTTTGTTCAATTAAATCATTAACATTATATACTGATTGGTATTTTGTTAAATAAAAGTTTGCAACAAGAATAATCACATGCGTCACAAGCGGCGAGAGCAGGTCTAGTGACCCCTCCACACATCCTCTGGTCCCTCATTTATACTCGAAATATATGTATTGTGGTGATTTTATGTACATTTGGTTAAGATTTACCTCTCTTGTATCATATTTACCTCTGTGCTGCTACTAACTGTAATGTTTGACTAAATTTGCTATGGACACAACAAAACACTTTTTGAATGAAATTAACCAATACCTGCAGATATTAATATGTTGTCGAAATCGCAATTTTCCTAAATGAAATTTGCAACATGATGCGAAGGTATCAATAATTTACCATATAAGTCACAGAGATTCAATTGTAAATACCCAATTCAACGTTCGCTTCGAAAACAACACATAATTTAGCACTCTTTTCTTGAATTTGTCGTAGTGGTGAGTGCATTGAAATAGAGACTCTAAGCGAAAAGGTGCATGAAGAGGAATTGTTCAACATATGTGTGCCATGTGACTTTATAAACATTGCATCGCCTCGATGGTCTCGTGGCACGAAAGGTCGTGGATTTGATACACAGCCGGGTCAAACCGAGGACTTGAGATATGCATTTGCTGCTTCTCCGCTAAGCACGCTGCACTTACGAGTATGAGCAAAGACATATCGGCTCGTATAATCAAAATAAGATTCCCAGGTAAGGTGACTTGTCTTCCTGCGGTCTGTTATATGCCTCTTCTGCTAGTCAAATGCGTTTTGTTAAAATATACTTTTTCACTTTTTTTGGTCTTTTGGAAAATGTTGTTTGTGCTGTATTTAGACCCCTCTACCAAGAAATTTGTTTTGCATGCACACTTATAAAAATTGCGGTTTTTATCCAACGCAATCATAGGTTTGAACGTTGTTTTCAATTTAGACTTGTTTATATTTTTTCGTTTGGGCTTGTATTATATTTGCCATCGGGTTTAAATGATCCGTTCATCCTATTTCGACTCGTCAAAATTCAAGAGTCTATCCTAAATTGAGGTAAATTATATGGCCTTCCAAATACCGTTTCGATTCCTTACATCACTGAAGAGACATTAATTGTCGAAATCTGCAGATTGTGTACTAATTTTTGCACCTTTTGTTTGCAGTATACCATCTTTTTCGCAAGTTTATTGTTTTCTGTTTGGTATTAGATTAATAGTTAAGATCCATTTTGTTACATCTGGTGATCTGTTTATTTGGCAATCGCCAATGGCAGTCAGCAGGATTTAAAAACATCCGTTGTTCGACCTGCTAGTCAAATGCGTTTTGTTAAAATATACTTTTTCACTTTTTTGGTCTTTTGGAAAATGTTGTTTGTGCTGTATTTAGACCCCTCTATCAAGAAATTTGTTTTTGCATGCACACGTATAAAAATTGCGTTTTTTATCCAACTCGATCTTAGGTTTGAACGTTGTTTTCAATTTTTCAAATATACATATAAGGAGATGTGGTATGATTACCAATGAGACAACTATCCACCAAAGTTCAAATGAAGTGGATGTAAGTAATTATAGGCAACCATACGGCCTTCAACGATGAGAAAAACCTATACCGTATAGTCAGCTATATAAGGCCCGACATAAAATATATTCAAACAATTCAATTGAGAAAACTAACGGCCTAATTCATTACAAAAAAAGATTTACGAAAAACTATTATGACCGACATGAAGCAACGACAACCACTGAACTACATGCTCCTGACTTGGAACAGAATATGGCGGGGTTAAACATGTTTTCTGGCGCCAAACCCTCCCCCTAACTTGGAACAGTGGTGTAACAGTACAACATAAAAACAAACTATAAAAATATGTTGAAAAAGGCTCAACTCATCAGATCCATACAGAGCAGAAATACATCTAACAAACACACAACCGGACGTGCCAGGTTATTTATATATCCCTAACAACAAAAAAGACAGACCTGAGAGTACTCGCAGTTACTGACAGCTAGGTCAAAGCCAATAACAAATAATTAAAAAAAATCATGTATCTAGACTTAATTGCCTGCAAGTTGACATGTGCAGAAGCTACTTCAATGTTAAAAAAAAAACACAACGTTTCATCGGTATCATAACCTGTCCAAATCATTAACATTACTGATATAGGGATTTTTGTAAAAGGTACAGATACAGATAATTTTATCAACCAATCAAGGTGCTCTTTGAATAGCAGATTAATTAAAATGTAATTATTCGTAACATAATAAACACACTGAGGCCTCACTGTGACTTTGAGATGAAGAACAGCCATAAAAGCGCTGTTCCTTTGCTTTATGTGTGTTTATTGCTGTGCATGTACTGATTTTGTGCCATGGATGAATACCCAATATCCTTTGTTTTCCTATTCTATTAAAACAATAATGGTTCAATAGAGTCATAATTGTATATACTGTATATACACTTTTAAGTTAATTATAAAATAAAAGAATACAAAATCAAAATTAATGTATATATATTGGGGAATGTATTATTCGACTTAAGCAATTTTGCATTTCCATTTTGTGTATATCATTGAAGATCGTAAGATGATGTTCTTTAACCATTCGTCACAACTCGGCCGATTCCGTACCTTCATCGGATAGAAGGAGAGTAGCGGATTCACCCGAGGATTGTCGATTGGTTCTTTAATTTATGGTTTGGGTTGATGTAATTACGTCTATTGATATCATTCACTTTTATTGTGAATATATTCTCTGTGGTGACGCTTCACTTTATAATTTAATTTATAGACATATGAATTTTTCTTCCTTTCAATAACAAACTGTCTGGCCATTTATGAGGTGACACTAAAAAATAAGTACACATGTACTCAAATAAACAAATTCCGACAACAGATATAATGATCATATAAAAAATATGTTACCTTAATTTTGAGACCAAATAACTTTGCAAGACCTTTCGTTTAACATGTTTAATAGGTATACCAGAATTTATTATCTATAATTTTTATTTTTTATAAATTTTTAAATATATGATGGTTGACCAAAGCGATAACTGAACTGATACGTGGGAACGCATGTACAAAACATCAGTCATGAAACAAACTATTTTGTCAGTTTAAAAATAAACAAATCTCGATATATACTCTTTGAATATGATGTTCCTCTTTTTGTTTTTTTGTTTTTTGTTTTTTTGTTTTTGTTTTTGTTTTTTTTTTTTGTCTTTCAGTTTATAGTTAGTGTAATCCAATAATTCCATAGTTCAAATCTAAAGACATAACTGGTATAGTCCGTTTGGATTGCATCAATCTTCAACAAACATAAATATGCAACAGGGATCTACTAAGATTTCAATTTAAAATACTCTAAAATTTTCCATCTCTTTCTTTTATTCTTTTCCATTTAGCACAGTCCCGACAACGTTAATAACAAAATCCTCTTTAGAATGTTCTTGTATTAAGCACATTTCTTCACGTGACCATTTAACTGCGTTTGGTTGGTGGAATCACTGAACTCAAAATCCTTTCGTATAAATAGTTGTGTCGTCTTTTTATATGTCCAGTAAGGTGTCAACACAAAAGTAAGCAACAACGCATATGTACAACTAAGTAGATACACTGGTACTGTTAACTCGGAGAGCAGATCATTTCGGTATTTGAAAAATACGTAATAGCAAAATGTGATTTCTATAAAAGATCGAAAATGGTAAACGTGTACTAATAAACATTGGTTTAGTTTCCATATAGTCGTGTTTCCTTTCCCAAATTTCAGTAATATCCAGCATGTAAAGGTAAAAGGCGCACTCAATTCCAAAAGTAACAACCTCGCAGCGAAAAAGTGGCCAACGTTATGTAAAACTAGTTGTAACAAAATAAGCAAACCTATCCAATGATGGATTTGTAATAGGAAACTAAACTTTCTATTACTGATGTCAGAAAATGTTAAAACAGTACATTCAAAAACAAAAAACCCAAGAGCTGAGATAACTATGATAAAACTGGTCGGTGTTGTTTCGTACATTACGTTTTCTTGGAGTTCTTTATCGACAAATAAACACCGTAAACAGACCCCTACACAGACTATTGTATAGCACGAACGAACAAATCCTGAATTCCAAAATATTTGTTCCTTTTTCGATAGATTGACGTACGTTGTTGATGATGTCGAAAATAGTCCAGAAATAACAAAACCGATGGCGTATGTAACAAAGAAGACGACAACAAGTAGAAGTTTTGATGACTGTTGGCTATAATCTATATCTTCTAAAGCAGAAAGGATGTAACGTATCCATCCCATGGTGATTTGATCCTGAAAATAATAACAAAAAAATAATAGAAAAAAAAAAAAAAAAACAGGTCCAGGATTACAAATAATGATAAAATGGACTACAACAACAATTGATAACTTGAGCTGATTTAGAAAATAAAAAGATTAAACTGTTTTGAGAAAATTTAATTTAAAGTAGAAAGAAGAATATTCACGAAGGGTCAATACCGACACTAAAATTCGATGAAAGTTATCAAAAACATTTACTGAAAGTAGCTGCATGGCAAATACATAATCAATAACCTTTGTCATCTTCCATCAGTAATTTCATTATAATAACGTGTACACTCTTATGATGAAAAAATCATATCTATGACCTAGCTACACTAGGAACTAATTTTTTAGGACGATTTCATGTGCTTTCTACACTAATGTACATCTATTTTGAAAAAAAAAAAATCATTTAATAATATTTCTGCAAAGAAAAGAGACTAATGCCTAATTTTCTCCGATTTTCATTTCAAGCTTAACATAATGCAGTTTTATTCAAAATTTGATAAAAATCTGTGACATGACCCGTTTATTGTAATTTGACCTCTAGATGCGAGCACTAATCCAAATATATAACTGTCAAAGAAAAGTAAAAATGTCTTCACTCCGCTTTTTCCAATTTGTTTAAATGGCTATCCAATTTGCTGACCGATTTATTCAAGTAAATGAATGCTTTACATTTGTTTTGAGCCTTTTTGGACATTGATTGGACATTTCTTTTTATAGACATCATTGTCAATCAAAAAGAAAACATTATAAAATATAATAAAACGTTTTTATATGTACTCCTATTTGTATGGTTTATCTTCAACTGAATGTTCTTAAAATACTATAATTATTTTTTTCGAGCGTACAACACGTATTTTTGGAAAATTTCCTATAACAATAAAAGTGATTGTAAGAATAATGCAAATACTGATAAATAAAAACTTATAAACCTAGATTTAACTCACCTTTTTCAATATTTTGTTATTCTAATGAACGTATCACAAAAAAATAAAACACTACTTTCGCCACATAAAGACGACAGTTTAACGTCCTCGAGGCTTTATTAAATAATATGATTAAATTTTACATGTACAACAGGGAAGTTTCCACGGAAATGCAGGTACATGTTTTTTTAGGTAGACAGGGTGGAAATTGTAAAACATTATGATGCAATATATATATATATATATATATATATATATACATAACTACTCATAATACCAGCACAATCATGTTAAATCTGCGGAAGCAAATTTTTGTTCCTCCCTCGCCGGGATTCGAACTCATGCTATTGGGATAACGAGACAACACCGCCTCCACTGTGTCCATCGCTCTACACCACTCGGCCACCTAGACTGAACTTATAATTCAGCTTTCGGTGGCCTAGTGTTACCTTTCCTCATCAGTAGAATCTTAGAGTTGTAACACAGTACATGATATATTAGGCATGAAGATAGTATTCATTGCCGATTAGCTAAATATTATCGTAAAGGATCGTAAGATACAGTCACAGAAATAAAGTACGTCTAAACAAGTGACAACATCAGAAAAGTAGACGAATGTAGAACTCTGGATGTTATTGGTTCTTATTATATTATATTTCTTTGCAAAACGACAAAAATCCCAAATTGCCACGGTCGACTAGATTTATAAATAAAAAGTTAATACAACTAAAGAAATGATAGTTAACAAAATTCTATTTGTTTCTTAGTTTTTATAATTCACGTGTTTCATAAAAATGAAAATAACACTAAGTCTTTATAAATTTCGTGCGTCCGAAGCGCTTTTCTGGATTTAAGGATGTTAGCTCCTCTCGTTTTTGAATTTTTGCGAGATATTCGGAATCCTCAGGTTTTATCCATGTAGTGCCATTAAAAAATTTTGCCCACTAACCCCTGCTTTTCTTTTCATAATTTGATTACATATAGTTTAAATGCCATCTTTAAAAATCTTATAAAATCCTTGTTATTTTTTCATTCTCTTTGACAGAAAAAAGGTGCCAATGTTAAATGATAGAAAAATCTAGAGAGAATCATTTCCCGCCAAATCTTCAATGACATATATCTCGAAAACAAGCACACGGACCCTTCATTTTTTTCTACTTTTATAGTTCCTTTATTTATATACTATCAATTTATAACAGTCTTTTTAAAAGCTTGTTATTTTGAAACAGAGGAGCGAACATCCTTATCATGAACGATCAAATGTTTTAACCTAAATATTTGAAAGTCAGAGGTGTATAAATACGAAGAATGGATAGGAGCGTTATGATCAAAAATGACTAAAATAAAAGCCAAACTCGGTTAAGATCAACTTTGACTGAGGGAGTTAAAACCATAGTTTCTTGAAATATAATTTTCATGAAATTTAAGGAAACTTATGAATAGTTTCGTTTTTCATTATTGATGGTTGATTAACGGCCATTAGCAAATACGTGTATGTCATGCATATTCAAGACTTTAAAAAAAATGACCTGTTGATATATATTGTATATGTTCTTTACCACCAGGAAGCTACTTATTTGAATTTGGATGTAACTCGTCTTCTGATTGGCTGAAAGTTTTTTGTCTATCAGTTCATAGACATAATTTTGTCATGTGACCGTGACGTCATCAACGTTTTTTTTTCATGATTTACTCCTTAAAAATGGAATTTAGAATTAAATTTTAAAGAATGACTGTAATATTTTTTTTTCTGTCTATTCGAAATAACCTCAACAATGTGATGTACACTTTTAAATAACCCGCTACGCGGGTTATTCAGTGTGCACCACATTCTTCATGTTATTTCTTTATAGACAGTCATTCCTTAAATAAACAAGTGTATACACTCTTCTTGATTTTAAAAACTCAGGCCTTTGGAATAAAACAAAACTTAGACGGCACATGCATCCACTGAGGTGTTCATGTCTGTGAACTGCATATCTTGTAAATATTCATGCAGTTACGCAAAAGCAGAGTCCTCACGTGACCTCTCCATCCTCTTTTTATGTACTCGTCTGATATCTAATTCACCGAATTCATTTCAATGAAGTTCATTCTAAGCTTTCATGAGATGTAAAAATTTACCATAAAAAAGAATGTATATATAGTTTAGATGTAATTTAATTCTTGTGAAGGCTTTTAGCAGTAAATGTATTCGTGATTATCTATTTCACAGATGACATCATAGGTTGATCATCTTGGGAAAAGATTTAACATGTTCAATATATGTTTTATAGCTATTTGATAGAATTTTATAGAATATCAAAAAACCTATTCATATTTCCATTAGACAGTAAAATTCTTTCATCGATCATGTCTTTCATCAGAAAATTAGAAATTGTCAATTTTCATTCCTATTTCGTCTGAATATTGAATTCAAAGCTATCCATTTTTCAGGTTTATCAGGAACGGTTTGACACCGTATGCACTTTAAGTTTGTCATATTTCTGGTTTTTATTTGCCTTATAGCAAATGATTTTCACAACTTCGAATAGCAAAAATATAATATAGTAATTTCTGATGTATTTTCGTGTGTGAGGGTGTTGATAAGTTTTACAGAATAGAGACTATGTAGGTCAAATATAGAGGAAAATGGACAAGCAAAAAATATATAATATATATAGAGATTATGGCAAAAATATATAAAAGAATAGAGATTATGGAAAAAATATATAAAGAATAGAGATTATGGCAAAAATATATAAAGAATAGAGATAATGGCAAAAATATATAAAGAATTGAGATTATGGCAAAAATATATAAAGAATAGAGATTATGGCAAAAATATATAAAGAATAGAGATTATGGCAAAAATATATAAAGAATAGAGATTATGGCAAAAATATATAAAGAATAGAGATTATGGCAAAAATATATAAAGAATAGAGATTATGGCAAAAATATATAAAGAATAGAGATTATGGCAAAGAAGATACCGAATAGAGAAACATTACATAATCGTTAAACATTTACAGAAAACAGATATGAATTACCTCCCATCCAGACCCTCGTATGTTATCATTGTAATTTTAATAATTCAGAAAACTGTACGATTATCTAAGATAAGACAAGAAGACTGCTTTTCGAGTACTAATTAGAATATTTAAAATAAATTATAATTAAAGTAAATTTTAAAATATTTGCTACAAATAACACCGCTATGTAAAGATAATTATATGCTATCAAAATTAAAGGGTTATGGTAAAAGAGTTACTCGAAAGGATTTGAATAACTAGACGTTCTGGCAGCAATACTCTTTCAATGGTTAGCATCTGTATTGGTTTGGTTGTGAGTATTGATTTCTAGTCAGAACGTCAACTCGAATTTCCTGTTTTTAGATAACATCCTCAAAGCTGTCTGTAGGTCTCCCGTTCAACAATTCTTTCACAGATATTGCTCTTAATCTTTAGTGGCAGTGAAACTTACCATACTATATATTCCATTTCCACGTCTTTTGGAGCCAGAGTGATTTATTGTTTGGTTGACTCCTTACGGAATCTGCATTAAATGTTGCCACTCGACTTTTGGAAACCAACAATCAATCAATCAATCGATTAATTACCATCAAAATAAGAGCGACCAAAATGAGGATAATTTTACAGATCTTGTTGTGAAGATTTTTTCACTTGCCAAATCAATGCTTTATGTCAACACTATAAAACTGATAATTCAATCAAGTTCAACATATATGTATCAATTGTGAACGTATTTATAGAACTAATGAAATTATTGTCTGCTTAAAATCGCCAGGGACGTATGTTATACCACAGGAGAGCCTCAATCTGACGTTGATCAGAAATATCAAATTTAAAAATGAATTCAATGAGAGCGGTTATTGGTTAAAATAGAGAAATGCCGTCTGCATGAAAACTACATGGATGTATGTGGTTCTAAGCTTTTTTTTTTAAATTGAAACCGGAAAAACATGAAAAGAAAGAGATAATTTTATATGAAACTGTCGGAAATTTAATAATTAATCTACTAGTATTATTTTTCTTGTAAGATGCA